AACATGATGCTTTTTTATGATAATGTGCTCTTACGATTCCTATCTGTGGTCTTAGATTCTCTCATGGCTTTAAAAAGACTGAGCAAATATAAGGGCAAAAGGAGATTAATGAAGTTAACGTCTGTCTGCTTAAAAAGAATGTTATTAGTTGTGAATTCTGTTTTCTGTGTCACAGTGCCATTCTTCTATTTTAGGGTATGATGAAGATTTTGAAGCAGATGAAGAAGTTAATGAAGAGGGACAGACTGCTGATCAAACAAATGGAATGTCAGAGTCATCCTCAGATGATAAAAACCATAATTTAGACTATGGAAAGGAGAGTGGAACCTCATCACAGAAGGCACGCCAGGCCTCTGAGAGTGAGAAAGATGAAAGTGATGGATATTCTGACAGGGACTCTGAGAATAATCAACAAGGTTAGTTTTGTTTGTAATGAGGCTTAGAGAAGCTGACCTGGTGCATGTTTTACAGTTTGTGTGTCCAGTATGTATGGTGAGTCTGCATGGAGAAACCCATGCCATTCCTACTGACAAAGTAAAAGACAGCTGTTTTATTTGTTATTAATTTTACATCTGCCACTGAACCGCAGGCAGCCCCCTGGAAGTGGGAGCGTGGGCTTTTTGCTGAGCTGTTTAGGTGCTGGAATGGAGATGGAGGCAGGCAGCGGGTTTGCAGGGCAGCCCTCCATGTCAGTGGGACTCACACCTCAAGAAGCTGTGACCCCTTTCACCTTATGAAGGGTCCCAGGAAACCTGACAGACCAGCCTGGGTTTTATAAATACTGTCTTTAGTGGCCCTGAATATGACCCTAATGTATCTGTCTGTGCCAAAGATCCAGAAACCAATAGATTGTCTGAGGGGAAAGGTCTGGAGAGGAACAACCTTGGATTTTCTCATGGTAGAGGAGTAGTATTCTGAGTGGGAGTCTTTAAACTGTGGCTGTAAGGTTTCTTGGTACAATATGTTTTTCTGAGCATGCAGTTCTGCATGGATGACAGTTCTGGCACTTCTACTTATTCAGCCTGACTGGATTTTTCTGCCTTGAGTTTCACCAATCTCTTCTTGAACCTGTGTGGACTATGGGCAGCAGCAAGGCTGTGCAGCGGTCAGCTCTGCTGGTCAGCTCAGTGTTAGCTGAAGGATTACTGCCTTTTTTCCCCTCAAACTTTCCATTTTTGAATTTAAATGATGATGTCTGTATGTTTTTCTAGAGAAGACAGTGAACTTCATCTCCAGTTTGACCTGAATAGTTTACACATGGTTTTGGAGGTCTTTCTAATATTCACTGAGTTAACAGGAGTGCACTAAAGGATTGTTGCTATGGTTGAAGTCTTTTATCAAACAGAGCTCAAGAATCTATGCTAAACCCTGTCTGAGTGACACTTAAAGGTGCATTTGGAGGTATATTTCTGTGTGACTGATAGAAGTTAATTTCCATTATCAGAAGGTTAATTTCCATTAGAGGTTAATTTTCATTATCAGAAAAAAACCCCGAAAACATTAAATGGATTTAAACATTGATACATCTGGCCAATGTTCTTCTGTTTACACTCACTGGAATTTTGTCATGATATCCTCAGATGGTGTAATTCAGAGATTGCTGTTGGTTGAAATTCTGTACTTTGTGAGTGCCCAGTGAATGCAGATGCTTAGTGATAAATACTAAACCAAAGTACTGTTTGCTGTTTCCAGAGAGGAGACCTGCAGACTCTCTCTCGTCCATCAGCACTCAGTGCAGCACTGAGGGTGACTCTCATGCTGAAACAATGACGGACGATGGCAAAGAGGAGTGTGATATCAAAAAGGCATCTGATAGCACAGCACATGCACAGTATGGAAATGGGAATGGGGAGAATAAACTGCTCAGAAGGGAGGAGAATAAGGAGACTTCTGCACTGGAAAACAAAGGAATAGATGAAGCAGGAAAGGCAAAACCAGAAGATCTAGCAGCAAGGGAAGATACTGGAATTTTTCATGAAAATATAATGGCAATGCAGCATCAAAGTCCTGAAGTTAACGGGGAACTCAGACAGGCTGGGTCAGGAGAAAGTAGCATGAATGATGATGATGAATGTCTTCCAGTGCCTCGGGAAACTGGGATGTTGAATGTGGAGGATGGCAATGAAGAGTCTCCTCAGAGTGAGGAAGGAGGGGGTGAGTACAGCCCTCTACATAGCTCTGAGTGACTGGTGCATGTCACCATGCTCTCAGTCATGGTGCAGCACAGGGAGTTGCTGGACTGTTTTCAGGATGCTGGAACACTCTGTGCTGCTGTGAGCCCAATAACCACTCAGAACGTAACCTTGTCTTGGTGTTTCTCTGCTAGTATTTCCAGTATTTCCAGGCTCTGCCCAATCATGGATTTTAAACCATTTTAAACCAGGCTGAGGGGGCTGGATGGCTTCTACTCCCCTTTTGCTCTTTAATGGTTTCTCTTTCTTACTTCCTGTTTTCTTTGTGATAGTTTTTGAAGATTGCAAACCAGATGAGGAGGAAATGGCAAAGGCAACTGGAAATGATCATCCTGTGAATTCTGACCCTGAACCTGGTGATTTCCGTGCTGGTGAGGAAGCAGAGAATGCAGCAAGTATAGAGCATGATGCCAGTGAAGGTGAGGTTGACTGCCAGTCAGGGAGAAGGATTAAATCTTATTAATCTGAAGTCTTTTTACAGAAGTGTTTGCCCTTTCCCTTTCCTTTGGCTGTTAACTCTCCTTGTGCTTTTTTCTTTCCTAACTTGTATAGAACTGGGTGATGACTAGCTGGTTTCTGTAGTTATGTATAATTAATGCTTTTTTGGCATTTAAATGGTTCTAGGCAAAGACCCCAGACCATGGTAAACTGGCTGTGAGTTGGGAAAATAGCCACAGAAAGCAGAAACATAGTGAGGTTTCCTGTGCTTCCAGGTAGTGTGGGGCAGCCTCGGGAAGCGCTTTGGTTCCCAGGGGCAGGAATCAACCCTGTGTTATTCCCCAGTGTAATTAAAGAATCCACGGGAAGCAATTACCCATTTTATACAGCTGAGTGTTCTTCCTCCCGTGTGTGCGTATTTTACATGAGCAATTTGCCACCTATTTCTGACTTTCTGAGTGTCACTGTCAAGGTTACGGGTGTTTCACACGCACACCTGAGCTCCCTGCAGGCAGGAAGGGAGGGAGGCAGAGCAGGCAGGGCAGGCAAGATTGGCAAAGATGAAAGCTGGCCTTGCATCAACATTTTTTCTTACATTCATTATGCCAGATGCTAGGACAGCAGCACTAGAGATGTAGTCAGAGCCCAGGGGTGTGATGAGAAGAAGCACAGCAAGTTTTCTTCTGGTCCCCATGTCCCTCATTGCTGGGCAGAGACGGTACCTTTAACACCAACTCTGTAAAACATGTAACATTGACACAGTGCTGAGTAAAACCAATGTTTTATTTTTCCCTAACAGCACCAGATGGAAGTTTCTCGGCAGAAGGGAGGAGAAGCCTTGATGTGCAGGAGGCAGCAGGACAAGAAGTACAAGAAGGGCAGGTGGCAGGGCAGAGACAAACCCTGGAGCAGGATGGTGCTGCCACGGGAAGAGATGCTGGCAGCAAAGAGTCTGGAGGAGAAGGGATACGGGAGAGGGATTTACTGCCCCAGGAAGAGACAGGGTCTGCGCTGGAGGAATCCACACCTGAGGAAGGCACTGTGGCAGAGGAACATCCAAAAGGGAAGGGGACAGAAGAGAGAGTGGAGTCGAGCACAGAGGTGTCACCTGGGGAGCAGGAGGTGCTGGTGGAGGGGACGGAGATCAAGGCAGCACTAGGAGAGCTGGCACCTGGGGGAGAGGGGCCAGCTGGGGAACTGCCAGGCTGGGAGGCAGACAGAGCCGTGTCTGAGGGGCAGGAGGGGGATGGAGGGGTCACTGAGGAGGAGGCCGTGGAGAAAGGCCCCGAGGGAGTGGCAGAGGAGGAGGTAGGTGAGGCAGTGCCAGAGGCAGGGGAGTCGCTGTGGGAGGGAGGGTCCACAGGGAAAGGTGCTGTGGTCGGTGCTGTGGCAGATGGAGAGGAGGCTGTGGAGGATGCCGACCTGGCAGGAAAAGGTATTGCCGGGGTTGTTTGCCCTGAAGGAGAAGGGGCTGTTGAGGAAGACAGTTCTGAAGGGCAGGAGGCAGTGGAGAAGCCTGGGGCTCTCCTGGAAGCATTAGGGGATATGGAAACAGGAGAAGCAATGCCTGGAGGGGAAGGGTTTGTAAAGCCAAATAAGTTTTCCCAGCTGAAAGCATTAGAGGAAGAGTGGATGGAGATGGGGAAGGCTGCCACAGGAGCAGCAGCATCTGAACGTGGCCAGGTATGCAGGGTAGGAGGGAACGTTCTCCAAAGAGTGGAGGACATGATGGAGGTGTCAGTGGAGCCTGGCAAGGGTACTGTGCTGGAAGTGGCACCTGGGTTAGGGCCACTGGGGGGTGCTGGGGACGATCCCATCAGTGAAGGGTCATCTCAGGTAGAGGAGACCCCGGCAGTGCAGGAGGAGGAGGGTGCAGTGGAAGCACTTTGGAGTGGAAACCCATCTGTGGGCAGCAAAGCAGAGACAGAGAGAGCCATGGAAGGAAAACCCAATGGAGGGGTGGCGGGAGGGTCTGCAGAGGCGTCCACCCAGGGGTTGGGAGGTGGAGAGGAGCCCACAGGTGGAGCAGCAGGTCCAAGAGAGCCAACAACTGGGATGGAGGGGTGGCTGAGGTATGGAAAAGAGAGAGGAAAGGGGAGGCCTTCTGGGGAGGGGGTGGTGGGTGATGCAGCAGTGCCAGCCCTGGGGTTGGACATGAGCCGGGCAGGGGAGCCCGGGCTGGTGGCCATCGCTGTGATGGGTGGCCAAGCTGGGCGAGGGGCTCTGGCCGAGGAACTGGCCAGGGAGCCGGCGCTGGCCGAGGGGGTGGCAGTGGCTGGGGATGCAGGGTGGCAGAGGGACGTGCACAGGATGGGGTGACGGAGGAGTGCTGGGGGCACAGAGCGGGACAGGGGTGGCAGTGGCAAAGGGGATGTCAGCCAAGGGAAGGTGGGCAGCCAGAGAGTCTGGGAGGGACAGGGCAGGGGTGGCTGATGGAGCTGTGGCTGGTGAGCGAGGGATGAACCAGGAGGCAGCACTGGGGTGCGAGGCAAGTGGGCCAGAGCCAGTGGGGGCCGAGGGCCAGGGGGAGGCAGAGTGGGAGTGGGTCACAATGCATATGGTGTCCTCAGGGCACGAAGAAGTCCGTAGAGCAACGTCCCCTGGGGAACAGCTGACTGCAGAAACCTCCCCAAACACCCCTGCCCATGGGGATGGGGGAATGGAGCTGATGGGAAGAGAGTCTGCAGGCGGCGAGGGGCTGTGCTTGGGCACCCAGCCACAGCTGGCAGGTCCTGGGACAGGGGCAGTGGAGGGCAAGGACGAGCAGCAGGAGGGGATGGAGCAGGCGGGAGTGAAAACAGAGGGAGAACAGCAGGGTCCTTGTGAAAACACGAGAGAGAGCGAGGTAGTGGCTGTCTTGGCAAGTGCAGAGAACTCTGCTGGGGCCGGGCAACAGAGGAAGGACAGTCCCGTCGTCGGAGGGAGCCCAGGAGCTGCTGATGTGGGTGAGAGGAGCCCCAAACCCCGTCAGGTGAGTCCTGCGTGGATTGGTCACTGCCCCCAGGCTGATCCCTGTCAGAGGCAGAAGATGCACCATTGCTTAATGCACCATTGCTTAATTATCTGCTGCTGGTAGCTGGAACAAGGGATGATAAATCCTTTTGGGTGGCGGCTGCCTGCGTTCTTTCCTGTTCCCAAAATCCTGAGTAAATCCCTTTGCTGTGGCATTAATTCTCGCAGCCCCTCCGCCCTCTCTCCCCTCTAGCCGTGCAGAGCAGCTAACCCCACCCAGCTTGCCGCAGCTCTGGTGGCACTGGGTGAGCCCTGGCAGCATCCGTGGGCTCTGGAACACCAGGTCAGCATCAGCACTTGGTTTCGCTGTTACTCTGGCCTCTGCTTGTTGGAGATGTCACAGCAATACCTCAGTAGCTCCAAGTTCAGAACGTTTTCTGTAACATTTACTCATTGTTCCGTAGGACAGTGTAAACCCAGACCCAATCATCGTATCCGCAGAACAGTCCCATGATGGGGAAGAAACTCTGCTCTGAGCTTTTTCAGCAGCTCCTCAATGCTGTGTCCTGTAACATTCACACAATTAGCTGTGGGTTTGTGCCAGCTGGGATGTCACTCCTCTGTTGACTGCGCGAGTACCACAACCACCTGTCACATTTCACCATAGCAGCTCCTCAGTGTGCAGCAGACAACTGAAACGAGCCTGTGTTTGCCAGCCCAGGAAACAGTGCTGCTTCAGAATTATGAAGACAGTAATCACCAGGATTGTTCCACAGCTGTCATGCTTGTTTTTCCCAAAACCAGAGGAATACTGGACTGGCTGAACTTTCCCTCCTCCCCCATGCATCGCTCCTGCGGGCAGGCAGGAGGATGAGGGCAGATGTGCTGTGTGTGTTTGTCTGTACAGGGTGCCCATGTCTGAGTGTATCTGTCATTTTTTGGGGTGTCTTTGCCTTTCTGAGCTGCAGCCTTTTGTCAGTCAGGCTGTGTCCTCACTGCTGTGCATGGGGCACTTGTGCATGCCATTGTTTGATTCTGGTAAGATCATCCAGGGACGTTCAGCAGAGATGCAATGGCAAGATCAGAGGTGAAGGAGGCCTCACACGAGGGTTTTAGCCTGGGGACTTCCCCACCCCAGATTAGGGGAGGGTAGCTCTCCTGCATGCAGAGTGCCCCCTGTGCTGGGGGGCATGAGGGGCTTCTGTCTCAGGGATCCACACTTGCTGTTGGCCACAGTTCAGGGCATGCTTGGCACTTTGAAATGTTGAGAGTTGTTAAATCAGAACAATTCTAACAAGTATTTGTAAATGCATAAAGCCTGGCCTTTTGCTTTTGCTTGTGTCAGTCAGAAGTGACTTCCTGGCCCATGGAGCCTGGGCTGAGGCTGCAAGAGGGTGGTCAGTGTAGAGCTGTCTCAGCCTGGCAGTGGCTGCCCTTCTCTACTGCCTGAGGCTCTTCTCAGCTCTCCTGCACCTCTATGGGCCCACCAAGACCTTTCTGAGCTGGGCACCTGGGGCTGGGTGTGCAGCAGCCTCTGGGCACTGTTTGGTGGGCACAGGAGACTCAGCCCCACACAGTAGGGACTGTAATTGCATTTCAAGTAGGAAAATGAGGCTGAAATGAGTAGGATTTTGAGTGGATTGGTTCTCTGAGTCACTTCAGATCAATATGCATGGGAGTGGAAACTCAAATGTGATCAAGTGGTTGCTGTGTTCCCTCTATTAGAGGCAGTTGCATTTGTACGTGCAGTCTGTGCACATTCCTGCTAAGGACCATCTCAGAAGGTTGTGTTTTCTGTATACATATCAGACCTGCACATTCACTTGGGTCTATTAAACACCTGTACCAGTCTGTGCAGCTCCTTCAGTTTTTGCCAGCGGTTTAACTGTAGGAATAACCCCTGCCTGTGCAGCAGGGCCAGCACTGTGGTGTCTGTCTCAGTTTGCCAAGGACTGACTGATGTTGTGCTGAGTGTTTGTGCTGCTAAAGCTGCCTTGGGCAGGTACCCACACAAAGCTCATGCCTGGGGCTGTGGCATGGCTGCACCTGAGCGTTTGGACACATGGGTGGCAATTCAAGGTGAGCAAATGCAGATGGGGGTGCAGGGATTCCTGGGAGCCCCTTTGAGCCTGCAGGAGACCCAGGGCATCTGAGAAGGCCTTGGTGAACAGGGCAGTGTGATTGTAAGGAACTGGAATGCTGACAGTTCATTATTAACATTCTTGAAATACTTATAAATGGCACTTGTGCATGTGGTTGTAACAACTGGGGGAAGGAATCCTGTGGTTACGAACATATATGTGGACTTTCAAAACATTAGTGTCCCTGTCATCTGAGCAGGCAGAAATTTGGTAATAAGCGAAACCATGGAAAAGGATAATTGTATAGGTTTGGAAGTGCTTCCCTTGGTCCTTTCTGTTCTCCTATCTGGTGCTAATTAGTAATTAACTTCTAAGTGAAAAGTAGGTGGTACTTGGGGAAAAACAAGATGTGCAGCAGAAAAAACCCTCCGATTAATTATTAAAGTGAGCATATGTGAGCAAAGCAAACTATCAAACAGTTGCCACTGGCATAACTCATTCTTGGCTCATCAGGAAGGCTTTTGGAACTCCCTGAACTGTCAGGTGTCCTCAATTGCCTGTCACTGGCTGCTGATGGTTGTGCCTCAGATGTGTCTCGCACAGCTGGAGCCTGGTGACATCCCACAGACCGAAGAGATGCATTTCACCAGTTCAAACCCACGCCAGCTGTGCAATGTGGATACAGCATGGGAAGGTTTGAAGTCCCACTCCTGGAACTGGGCACCAAGCCCTGGCATCGCTGAAAGGGATGTGGGATGGTGGCTCACAGACACTGCCTGGGATGCTGGTGGTGGGCAGCACCTGGTGGGCAGCACCGTATGGGCGGTGCATCTGTCTGTCTGAAACAAGGGCTGCAAGGTAACTTTCCTGGCTGGGAATTGCCTGAGGGGTTTTGGGGTTCAGCCGTGCAAACCAGGCATGACCAATCCCTTGGCCTGCCTGGTAGGGCTGTGCCAGCCCAGCCTCTGAGGGAGCCAGCCATGCCATGCTGGCTGTCCTGTGCCATGCTGTGCTGGCTGTCCTGTCCTGTGCTGCCTGTCCTGTGCTGTGCTGTGCTGGCTGTCCTGTGCTGTGCTGGCTGTCCTGTGCCATACTGTGCTGGCTGTCCTGTGCTGTGCTGTGCTGGCTGTCCTGTGCCATGCTGTGCTGGCTGTCCTGTGCCATGCTGTGCTGGCTGTCCTGTCCTGTGCTGTGCTGGCTGTCCTGTGCCACGCTGTGTTGGCTGTCCTGTCCTGTCCTGTGCCGTGCTGGTGGACATGTGCTGCAGGAATGCCAGGTTCACTCCTGCCTGCAGTCCAAGCCCTTGTCTGGTTGGACTCCATATTATTTTAATTATTTTAATCTAGATCATCTATTTTAATCTATTGCTGATGTGTTAATTTAAAATATCACTACAGTTGCCAGGCACTGGCAGGTCTCCAAAGCAGGGTAAGAATCCTCGGACTGTCTCATTCTTGGTAAATATTTTGATGTGCTGGGGTCCTTGGGCTTCTCTCGGAACAGCACAGACTACTTGCAGTCCCACAAACAGCTTCAGAGCATGTTCTACTCAGTAATTAACATTTTTCAGAGTTTTTGTTTGTATTACTGATCACTCCTATGAAACATGTTTTTCCCCTAAGCCTGATGTTTCTTCTATAGAGACCAATTATCTACGACATCGTTTTCTTCAAGGAACCAGTAATTTTAATTACTAGTAAAATTATTTGCAAGCAGGTGGCTTTGTAAAGGGCTTGTTAAACTATAGAAGGTTTGCTTTCTGGAATTTTTTTGTTGTTTTCATGTGACATGTTCCGAGGAGGTACTCAAGGATGACACAGTAGCTCAGGTATCTGTGAGTACACTGAGGTATTAGTGCACATGAAGTGAGGTATTAGTGCACATGAAGTCTGCTCCCTTGCTCCATTTTTAGTTCTCTAACACAGTTTAGTTTCTGATTTTCAGGCCCAGTTGCCAAGTCACTAAATGCAGAGTCACTGCATGGTTGCTTTAAGCAAGGGAAAAAGACAGAGTGCAGAGATATTTGGAAGAAAAAAAAATCCTGTTAAAAAAGAGACTTAGAGCTGGAACTGAGATTTCAGATATGACAATGGATTCTTTCTGCCCTGTTGGTGTTTCTGGCCAGTATGAAAACCAAGGACTGAGACCTAATGTCTGTTCACCCTCCTTCATCAGCTTGTGCTTCCGTGGCTTTGCCATATAGAACATCTGGGCAATTAGGGTCAGGTAGGGAATATTTATCAGCATCCTAGATGCACCTTCTCCCTTCTGCTCTGCACCTCTTCCCTCACAGAATGCCAACTGCTAACACTGCTTGTACTTTTAGAGAGAATACAGCAGATTTCCTCCAGCTGCAGACAAATCTGGATGTTGTTTTGTTGTGGTTTACTGGGAGGGACCTTTAAAGCTCCTCTTGTTCCAACCCCCTCCATGGAAATATCCCAACTTACGGGGGCTGGGAAGATTGCAGACAGGGTCCAGCAGGTCCCCTTGTGAGTCCCATCCCAGGCTTTGCTGTGTGTTTATCCTGACACTTCATTATCCCAGCAGCTGCTGGTGTAAATGGAACTGCACCTGGGACATGAGCCCAGCGGAGCAGAGGTAACCACTGGCTGGTACCAGGGGCCAGTGGTGGGAGAGCTGTAACAGAGCTGCACTTAGAGCTTGGTTTTCCTTTCCCCCCATTCAAGTTTTCAGCAAGCGAAACACAACCAATGAAAACCCACCTCTTCCCCAGTTTTATTGCTTCAGAACTGTGGAAATAATGGGAGGCATGGCAGCAGAGCATTAGCAGAGCCCACCATGCAGTCACAGCTCGTGTCTGTCGCACTGCTCGAGGCCTCATTGCAGACCTGCTTTGGGGATCGTGGTTGTAGGAACACAACATCCTCAATAACACCCACAGAGCTCTGCCCAGCAATGGTGAGTTCTGACTCCCACTCTGCCTTGGCATACATACAGGACTACAGATACAGTTTGCTAATTTTAAAAAAGACTCCAGAAAATAACAGCACAATTAACTCTGTAATTGCTTGTAGAGGAATAGTTTAATTTCTCCTGCCCTACCTCTATTCTCTTTTTTAATTCCCTGTGCTCAGTCACTGCTGCTGGGCCTTTTTGTGGCACTGGCTGCCCATTGCAATGGCACCTGACACAGGTTTGCTTCAAGTCAAAAATGCCACTTTGTACTGTGTTAATGTTATCAAGTTTGTGACACAATTTTACACAATTTCCTTCTCATTTAAAGTTTGTTTTGGAGTTCCTATGTTGCTTTTTGTAAGCAAACAACTGAAGGAAAGCTTACACTTCTCGGGGAAAAACAATCCCTCAAACCAAACCAAGTGGACAACAAAACATGGATGTCTGGAGGAGTTGATGGAAGATGGACACCCAGATATGTCCATGTTCTCAGCATGCAGGAGAGCACCCAAGGGTCAGAGCCCTGACAAACTGTGGCTGGGGCTGCTGTGCTGGGGAGTTGGGCCAACCTATGGAGCAGGGAATGGGACACAGGATGTGTCTGGGGCTGTGGAGAAATCCAAACCAGGTCTGGTTCAGAAGCCGGGACCAGGAACAACCAAGCTTCCATGGTGGGTGGAGGGAGGTGAGGGTGACAGGCTGCTCCTTATCTAGATGGGGATGGGGATGGCGATTCCTGGGCACCTCCCAGCCAGGGTGGGCTGACAGCCCCCTGCCTCAGGACCATCCAAGCTGAGAGCAATCTGCCTCAAAGCTCTGGAATATAACTGATGTTTCTTTACTTTCATCTCATCGTGTTATCAGTGCCCAAGAGGAAAGTGCAGCATTCCTTGTGGGCATTCCTGTGTTATAGAACAGCATCACACCACCAAAACCCAGCCCTCGGGCAGGTCAGCAGAGGGGGATGCTAAAGCAGAACGCAGGATGGGGATATTTGCCATCAACACTAAAGCTGTTCAGGGATCTTGGTGTGACACTTGGGGTTTGGTGGTGCAGCGAGAGCTGCGGGTCGATGGCCAGGCTGGCAGCAGGCGAACGGTCCCTCCCTCAGCTGCTCTCCTCGAAGCTGCCGCTGCTGCCGCAGGAGTGGAACCTCATGGTGCTTAAGGGGTCTGACACGTACCCTGCAAGGTGCAGAGAGAGGGTCAACTGTAGCTCTGCACAGCAGTGGTGCTCCCGTCCCCCCTCCCTGCAGTGCCGATGGCAGCAGAACAACTTGTGGCAGAGAACCCCTCAGCATTAACTCACCGTTTTTGTCAACTGGGGGGTACTGGAAGTTCCTTCTCATGTCATCCAGAGACAGGCCCTGAGAAGGGGGTTGCCCAGTGCTGCAAATTAAACAAGAGATGTCAGTTTAGGTGAGACTGATGAAGGCTACAGGAGCTTTTCTCCAGAGTGGGAGGAAAGGACAGTACTACAAGACATCAGTGTGGGGGTGGACCACAGCAGTTCAAGTAAACAAAAAGCAAGAAGAAGTCATGAAGCAAGAGCAGGACCCACAGGCACACTGCCACTCAGTTACCATTCTCAGAGTAACTGCCCTCAAATACCCCATTTGGGGCTTCACAAATATATCTGCATTGTCATCTTGGAAGCAATTCCAGGCATCAATCCAGGATCATTGCCATGTATTTTATGTGTCACTGCTAAAAGGGTCCTGCAAATAAGTTTCTCTGGTGAGGAAGATGGTGGAATTATCTTCCAGTCATGAACCAAAACCCACTGTCCTGCTGGCAGGTAGTTTATCCCTGATCTCTGTAATGGGCACAGGTGACAGCACAGGTCTGGCAGAGCTCTCTCCTGGTCCTGCCACACCACCTTGCAGGAGCACGGCCTCCTTCCCTTAGTCACCTCAGCCTAAGCCTTTCAGAGGCTCTCTCCCTCCCCGGGTGGCTCATACACACCCCTGTGACCAGACAGCATAGGCTCGAGCGTTCAGGGCGTATTCCAACTCGAACCGACTGCGCAGCGCGGCGACGTGGCTGCGGCCGGGACCTCCCCGGGCCACAAGGCAGTCCGAGGAGGAGGAGGGAGACAGGGACCCGCTGCTGTTGCTGGAGGCTGGAGACATTAACTGGATTTAAAAAAAAAAGGTACTGTTATTGCATATTTACAAGTCCTTCCTCATGTCTCTCATAAGTTGTCCCGCACTTTTCCTTGGACTTTTCCAGCAGCTCCAAAGCCACTGCTGTCCTCAGCTGCTGGCACTGTCCCTGTCCCCACTTGTACTCCTATCTGCTTGTACACACACAGAACCAGGTCCTTACCATGCTGGGAACCAGGTCCTTACCTCAATATTGCACAGACACTCCTCTAACTTTGTGACAACTTCTGAGAACTCTGGTCTCCCCTGGGAACACAATAAAAAAAGCAGAGCTGGGTTAAAAATGGAAAGGGGCAGATCTGCTGTGAATAGACTGACACACAAGGATAGGATTTCTCTGAATTTCATGGCATTGCTGTCAGTCTGTTTGGGAATCTGATGAGAACTGCAAGTTCAGTGCTGAGTTATGAAACGAAGAGGTGTGTGTAGAACAACTTCAACTGCAATTAATCTCTTTTTCTGTAACAATTACATTTGAGCTAATAATGACTAGATCATAAGATTACAAAAATGCTATTAATAAATTCTTGGCTCTGCTCTTTAGGTTGGCTTCCACTTTGCCCATGAACAGGACTTTGGACACAGTAACAGCAGTGACGAGCAGCAGATAAGCTGCCTTTGTGGCTGTCCTCCTCCTCCCCTTGTCCCTGTACCTGCACCCCCCCACAGCTGCTTCCCACTGCCTGCCCAACCCATTCCTGGACAAGTGTGTCCATCTTTGTGTGCTTCAAGTGGCACAGAGGTTTGTGGAGGCCACACTCGGGACAGGATCAGGCAAGTGAGGGGAATGACAAGTAGCCCTCCATTATTGCCTATCCGTATTCTGTCCCAGCTCACAGCTCAGCCTTCCCGGGAAGTTCAGGTGTGACTGAAGCAGTACCTGAGCACTGTTTAACAATGGAGGGCTGGGAATACTTTAATGAGGTAACTGCTAAATAAGCTACTCATTCCCATCACCACCCTGTCCTCAATAGAACCACCTGCAAGAGGTAGGCTCTACTTAAGGGCTTTGGGCCAAAGCCCTGCAGCCCTCCTAGCAGCCCTCCAGTTCAGGACTGACAGCAGCCCTGCTATCCATGAAGGAAAGTTTAATAAAGAACAGAAGCAAAACACCTTGCAAGATAATTTTAACAACTTTTTGCTCACATCTTGTGCAAAGTACTGACCATCCATGGGGTGACTGTGCTATCAATTTCTTTATAATTCTGTCATGAAACTCTAAAACACTGGCAAGATAAAGTGATGTTGGAGTGTCACTGATGGGTAACAAAGTGCACTGGGACTCTGAAAAGATGGTTTTGGGGCTAAGTGGGCTGTGGAAATGCTGACAAGACACAGGGACTGCATCCATCTCTGTGTTTGCTTAGGTCAACACTTTAATATGACATCTTATTAATAAATTTAAACTTAATGTGTATTACATGCTGTCATTAGCAGTTATATACAGAAGTCTGAGAGCAGCAAGGAGTTTTCTACTCACACTATAACTCAAGTCATAATCAAAACTACATGATTAATTAGGTTTCATTGAATGGCTAAATGTCAGTTTACTTTCCTCCTCAATTCACCAACTCTCCTGTATTTCCTGACACACCCCGTTATCTGTCTGGGGGCTTTCTGCAGTGACCCTTCCCATGGAAACCGGTATTCTGGGGAGGGTCAGCCAGAGCAGACATGCCTGTTTTCCCACTGCCAGGGGCACTCACCTCGGGACAGGCGTTCCAGCCCCTCATCAGCAGGGCAGAGATGGGCTTGGGGATGGAGTAGCCGATGGGTGGGCGGATGTGGTGATAGGCCATGTCTGCTGCTGCTGCCGCTGCAAGGGACAGCCCACAGAGACCCGTTAGTGCCCGCACTCACACAGATCCTGGGAACACACCTGCTCACTGCTGAGACACCGGGCAGGCACAGGAACACTGAGCCATCCAACCTGCGGATAAAGGCACGGAGGTTAAAGGAGGCTTTTCCAGTCAGACTGAGAGCAGAGTGAGCTGCCCATCCCCATGGCCTTGGGCCCACCTCCAGCCACAGGACAGATGGCAGTGGGGGTCTCATTGGCAGAAGGGTCTGAGCCCTCCCTCCTTACCTGTGCTGGCTCTGACCACGTCCTACAGCACTCTTGACCTCTAATACTTCCTTTCAGACATCTGGGGGTCAGAATATCAGGAGTGCCAAGTGCAGCCCTGGAAAGGCCACCCCCCCATAGTTTTTGGGTGTTCTCTTGAGACACATGAGGACAAGTACCAAGGAATGGCTTTGAAATCCCAACACCCATGTGAGAGAGACAAAAAAGCCTGCAGTCAGAATGACTTGTTCCTAATTCTAGACCTGGATAAGGAATTGTAGGTTATGCAGATCTGCAGGGAGTAATATACATGATTTTAATGGGATATTTCTGTGCTTTTCACCAAATGCTGTATCTCAGCACTTAATAACATACTTCAGTAAACTACTGGTTAAAATTACACAGTGTAGCTACTTCTCCAGTCCAGAAAAATTTAAAATACTAATTCATTGAGCATCTTACCTGGTTTCAGGTGAGCAAATGGAATTTCTCCTGTTAACAGCTCCCAGAGGCACAGAGCGTAGCTGAAGACATCAGCTTTGATGGTGTACCTCGTGCACTGGGTGAACACCTCGGGGGCCATCCAGCGCAGGTTCTGCGCACCAGGGAACAGCAGTCACACATTAGCAGTGTTTGCCTCCTCACACATGCACCTATTCCTGCCTTCGTATGTTTGTTTTCCTTTGTTTTCTTATTTCCTGCCTCCGTCACTCCATAAAATAACTGGTAATTTGCCAGGAAAAATTTTCACCTGGCTTGCAAAAGCTAATCAATGTTTGTTACTGCACATGATATGTAACTGCATTAGCTTGGTGCTGTCTCAGCCCTGTACAGCCAGGCTGAGCAGACTTTAAACATGAGAGTAGGGTGAGAATAAAAGAAGAAGCCCAGCCTCCAGGCCTGCAGATCACATCATCAGGTCTGATATATATATATATATGAATATATGCCATATGATAGGAATTATATGATTCAGCTGGGAGAAGTAAAAGCTGATCACAGCTGTACTGGGCTGGGCCTACTCTCTAGGGGTCTTGCCACTGCCTGCAGACCCCTAATTCTGAGGCTGCTTCACAAGGAACTGGCCTCTCCCTGGGGTGATTTTCAGATTCCTTGTGCCTTGGTTCCTTTACTCTGCATCCTTTACAGGACAGGACAGTCCTCCTTAGGTCAGCCTTTCTCAGGACAGCCCTTCTCAGGACAGCCCTTCTCAAGACAGATCTTCTCAGTGGGATGTCACCAAGGCCTGGCAGGACCTGGGTCTAAACAGCAACCTTTACTCCTCACACAGTGAGTGCCATTACAGGGAGTTAAAGTGCTGATTAAAAGCCCTGGTGTAGTTATTACCCATCCTTTGGCATCACCCGTCCCACCTCACATTAGTAGTTAGGATGATGTGAATATTCCTGGCCATGGAGTGACACACGGGATGCATCTGGACTCAAAGACAACAACAACTGTCTTGTAAATCTGACTGTGAGCAACAGGCTATTATGGAGAAAAGAACTGTGAAATAAGGGAATCAGTGTCGAGGAACTGATTTTCTGCTAGGAAAAAGAATCACCCGCCAACAAATGTGTGTGTGAGTCAGGAAGAGTGGATTAAAATTCACTCTTTAGAAAGGAATTTGGGCAATAGAGCTCCCAAGACAACCTTATAAAACATTGTTTTCTATTGAAGATGTTATATATTTCCTCATCTCTGCTAGTAAAGACACTTCAAGGAAAAAAAATAAGCCAAAACAGAGAAACATTGAAGAGATGAAATACTACAGCAGTCCACCTTTTACAATAAACATATTTCTAATGTCAATTTCTCCTAAACAGGGTTTGCCTGTATATTTGATATTATGTGGAACAAAACAAGAAACAAACCCCAGGTTGTTTTGTCATGTTGTCTTCATCCAGGGATTGCAGAAATCGAGATTCTGAAACAGAACAAGAAAAATAATTACTGTCAGGACAATACTGACACGCACCTTGTTATACAAAAGCCCTGTATTCAGTGCAATCCTACAGGATTGTCTCAGCCAGCACGTTTAGTTTTAGAGAATTTGGGGTTAATTTATAAATGTTTCACAAAAACTCCTTACCTCCAAAATCAGCAACTACAGCATGACCATCCTCATACAGGAGAATATTGTGACTGGGGAAAAAAAAATAGGTAATTGTTTGATAGTGTCTTAAAAATGGTGAAAATGTTACAGTTTTTGGGTCATAGATACACTCTCGAGGAGTTCAAATTACCTGCACAGGTAGTCAAATGTCTATAGCTACATCTTCTATTTATTGTTAGAAAGTGCACGTTAACTCTGAAAGGCAAACCCAAAGCTTCAGCTTTTAATCAATACCAGAGCAAAACAGCTTCTGTAATTAGTTACAGACCAAGTCTAATAGTTTTATTAAATAAGTGCACTTAATCTCAGTGATGAAGATGATATTTGAATATAAGCACAGTGATGGCCTTCAAATAAAACTACATGGACTGATTCTTTTCTCTTCTAAGGCTTAGGTAGGTGTAAATTCATGGTGGTAATCCCAAATTTATGACGGTGTATAGAAGGGAAGGAGCAGATCCAAAGAGTCCATAAAGAATGGACCATGCACACAAAATATCTTCTGCCTATTGCAAAACATCATTTAGCAGGGAAAGTGTATATAGAATCTATTGCAAATTGATTTACTGATTCAAGGACGTTACAGCAACTTATTTAATTTTCAGCAAAGAACACACATGAGGAAGTAGAAAAAAGCCTATTTCATAAAACCATAGAATAATAGAATCATTAAGATTGGAGAAGACCTCCAAGATCACAGAGCCAAACTTTCGACCAAATAATCCAACATTTGACCAAGGCTTTTAGAAATCAGCAACACAAACACAGGTTTTCAGACAAAGTGGGAACATGAGGAAAGACTCACAAGATGCCTTAGCTAGGTCACAAGCTTCCAGTACCTCTTGGGATGAAGGTTTCCCTACCCCAGTCACTACACCTTCAGGGCCTAGGGCATTGGTCACAGTACCAAGCCTGACAGTTCAAGAAGCGTTTGGATGATACTCTAAGGCACATGGTGAGACTCTTGGGGATGGTCCTGTGCAGGGCCAGGAGCTGGACTTGATGATCCTTGTGGGTCCCTTCCAACTCAGCATATTCTGTGATTCTGCTTTGGAAGGGCTGAGCAAATCACAACATAAAAGTGCAGGAATGTGGACACAATGCTGCTGACAGGATATTTATCAAATGTTGACTGATTCAAGTAAATTCAGAAGCGTGAAAAGTGTATGTAAAAACAAATGAAAAATCTGGCCAGGGCTTACATGGGGAGAAAAAAATGAAAGTGATATTGATGGTCTCAACAAGCACAACTTGCTCATATTAGAGCTGCAGACAGACACAAGAACAGTCAAGTGAGGAACACAAATTTCACCAGATAACAGTTTTAGGACAGAAAAAAATTAAGCTCTCCCAAGCAGGACTTCACAAATCACTGTCTTTAAGATTTCTAGTTTCACCTAAAACCAACACGTGGGATGATAAATTTAATCATAAAAATGTAATTGTGACTCTTTTGATTTATATTCAATCTAATTTTAGCTCCCATACATACTCTCCATCAACATAGTGAAGTGATTTGAGTATGACATGGGGAATTGTTTTTGAGATCCCCACCAGATGCCAAATGAAAATATGAATCAAACACAAAGCTGAACTAGAGAGACTCTTGAAGGCTGCACCCTGGGCTGAGTGTAGGTACACAAGACATAGAAAGCTAAAGACTTTGCTGTGGTCTTCAATCAAATTTGGCCCCTGTCAGTAGGGACAAAAAATATCCCAAGTCTCAATGTGAATAAACTGCATTGAGCCCTAGTTTCAACTTCAGTCTTCTCCAGGATTGTGTAGACCTTGAATAAATACGACTTGACAAGTCAAGGCATAATCAAGACCTGGACTGAAAGTTTTTATTGAGAAGCTGAGAAATCAATTGACAGGCCCTTTCTCCTCATGGCATGCAACAGCCTTTCATAGACTCACAGAATCATTAAGGTTGGAAAAGATGGCCAGGACCATCGAGTCCAACCTGTGACCCACCACCACCTCATCAACTAGACTAGAGCACTGAGTGCCACATCCAGTCATTCCTTGAACACTTCCAGGGATGGGGACTCCACCACCTCCTTGGGCAGCCCATTCCAGTACTTGACAGTTATTTCCATGAAGAAATTCTCCCTGATGTCCAACTTGAACCTCCCCTGGCCTAGAATATGATAAACAATGCTGAAAGGCTCATTCTGGTGTTGAGCACATGGATGGACATATCTGAGGGCAGGACACAGGCTCTGGAGGGTTTTGTCAGTCTGTTACTTCCAGTGAATGCTATAGTTACTGATTTTTCTTTTCTATAGTAAAAAATACAGCACACAGAATCAGGGCTTGGAAGGTACAGCTCAAAAATGCTGTTATTGCCTCAATGGCACTTGCAAATTTGAAAATCTTGGATGAGAAAGGAACTCTTAAGCCTCTGTTTTGAGAAATACAGAAGACAAAACTGAACTGAGCTGAGCAGGCAGAAGGTTAATAATGAGTTCAGCAGAATCAGAAATTAATTGTCTTCTGTTAAGATCACACAGAGATTGCAATGGTGAGAGCAAGCATCATTCTCTTCACGAAACCATGGAAGGAAGAAAATGAGAGAAGAATGAGTAATGTGCAATCATCCTGCCTTTGTGAAAGGATGTGGTTCTTGGGTCTGCCAGCCATGGAGGCTTCTCCCTCCCATGGCAAGTGACAGGCACAGCATGTCCTTTTCCCAGAGATCAGGGCCATGAAAAGATCCTTCTGCCTTTAACATGCTGTGGGTTTAATGAAAAGCAACAGCTATTTTAAGATTTCACAAGGGATGTTTGAACAAAGAGGAGTCGCAGACTATCCCCATTACCACCAGGCTGCCATCCTCTCTTTCATCTCTCTCACCAAGCAGCTCTCAGAACTGTTCATGGATAGTTAGAGCCATCAAATGCAGGTCAGTTGCTCAAAGGCTTGCTCCAGCCATGTTCAGCTGTTATGGCTTAAATTAAATTGATACTAAAATGGTCTCTTTTTTATTAAAGTGCTATAATCATTGTGGCTGTCATCCCTCACCATGGTGTAAGTAGTAATAAGCTGATACGTGTCACCATTGCGGATAGCTGTCAGAAGTGAAAAGCAAAATAAAACTCCCAATTATTCTCCAAATGGAAGGATAACCCCTTTTCCAGGGTACAGTACATAAAAGATTAATTTCTTTCTCTATTCTGTCAAGCCATATTGCCGATTTATTTAATGCATTATGTGTGGTGCATTAGATTTCAGAACTCACAAAGGGGGTTACAAGCTATGTGAAAATTTAAGGTAAAAAATATGAGACTCCTGTGAAGCCAGTGGCAAAACTTAACACAATTTCACTCTTGGTCTTTCTCTTAAATTGTTGCAAAGATTTTCATCTGGTAATTGTGCCTGTGGGCTGGCTGGGACTCATGCTGCAAACACAACTCCTGCTTTTGCACTGAAGTTGAGCTGCTCTCATCAGCACACATCAATGACAGCAGTGTCCCTACAGCAAATTATCTTCTGACCCTCACAAATATGATCTGTAAAAATTCTGTGGGGCAATTACATGCTTTCCAGCTTTCTAGGAAGATACTGGTTTGGGTTTTCGTTTGTGGAAAATGTTATTTAAAATCCTCCTTCTAAGAGCCACCACAGCCTGGAGCTGAGCTGTGAGGCCCAAACCATGGAGCTGAGCTAAGTCTTGGCTGCCCTAGTCTGAGCCTTGGCTGCCCCAGAGCAGTCCCACAGGCTGCAGTGGTCAGGCACAGGGCTCTCGGCTTGCATCACAGCCAAGGCAAGAGCTGCAGCCTTGAAAACAAGGCTCTCCCTCGGAGACCATGGGTTGTGGCCCAAAAGGAACCTGTGCAGTGATGCAGGGATGTGAAGGAGACTCAGAGGGAAAGTGGGGGATGCCACCCCAGTGTGCCTGTTGCTCTCAAGGGCTGACAGAGCTTTTGCCACAGCAAAAGGATCATTTTCATCTCCAATCTTGCAGTCAATGCAGTTTAGGTATTTCACCCCCTGTTGCTGAAACATGCACATCACGAGACTGTTCTCATAACTAGAACAGCAAGAATGGGCTTCTTCCTGTAGACACCGAGGACTCAGTGCTCCTATTCAGATACCACCAAAGAGAGGGATGAGTGCCTGGTCCTGTGTGAGACCTCAGCTCTCGGAGGAGAGCAGTCAGAGCTGCTTTTAGCTGTAACAAACCAGCCAAGCAAATCAAGAAACACATGAACTTATAACTACAGGGAAATACTTGGAGTAAAAGAGACAAAACAAAGGAAGAAGATGAAGTGACAAGGGAAAGTGACAAAGTACTCTTTGACAGCAGATGCTGGGCTAAAATACATGGAGAATTCAGAAATGGAAATTCAGAAAAACCCAAACAAACAGATGCAAGAAAATGCTCTTTTTCAGCGACTGCCGCCTTCGAGGACAATGACAGTTTGGCAATTGCAACTTGTAGGGGTTTGTGTAACACTTCTGAGATTACTTCAGCTCAGAGCTAATGAGACGTGACGTGGTTACAGGAGTCTGTAGAGGTCCCTGTGTCTTTGAGCCTTCATGTTCTCTGAATATTTAGGTTAAAGACAGAAACTGACCTGTTCAAATCCCGATGTATGATGGGCTGTGTGAGATTGTGGAGGTACTCCATGCCTTTGGCCACATCTACAGCAATGATTAATTTAGACTGCAGATCAAGAGTTCTGTATTTTGGGGGAAAAAAAAAATTACTCAAAGTTAATAAACAGTCAAAAATTGTCTGTAAATTATTCTTATGTGTAAATCATGCAACCTTCAAAATTGTTTTACATACAAAATAATGTTATATAATCTATGTAATGTAAATCTATATATTGTAAAATAATGACAATAACAATTTTGTGATTACCAGTTTCCCTTGTACACCAAATTAACTGAACCAAAGATCAGCATTTTCTAGTGTGTTCCTTTTTCTGTTTCTTATACTGAAATGCATATTTACATCAGCATAGATTCCCTACTCTTCCAAATTCTGTGCAGAAAGTCTGAGTGGAGGACAAGGGGAATACCTCTTCTGTTCATGGAGCAGGGAAAAGAGCGATCCCCCGGAGATGTACTGGGTGACGATGGCAAACTGGCTGGGGTCATCCAGGCACGCTCCCACAAACTGGATGACACACGGATGGTTCAGTCGGCAGAGAATGGAAACCTCCCGGCAGAACATGTCCACGTCAGACTTGGAGCAGTAGGTGTTGGCTCGATAGCTTAGGATTGACACGAGAGAAAACACAAAGGCAAAAAAATTATAAAATACCATAAAATATGGGCTTTCTTAATACTTCAAACTAGGCCATTGTCCAAACAGGATGGAAAAGCCTGACAAACGTACCGTTTGATTGCAACGATTTTATTTCTGCATCGTCCCTTGTAGACTTTTCCAAAAGACCCTAAAATGATTTAAAATAAACGAGCACAGAGATGTTTGTTATGAACATCACACATTTCACGAGGATGCACTTTCCATTCTGGTACCTGAGCCAATAATCTCATGAAACTCTATCTCGGAGAGCTGAAGGTGGAAGTGCGATGGCAAACCAGCGCGGAGGAGGAGAACGTCAGCCTTCTCTGCAAAAAAACACTCATCCTGTTTGCAAAACATGGGTCAGGGGAGGACAGAACATAAAAGCACTGAACTTCAGAACCCTTGCACTGAGAAAGTTGACTTTCCCCTGTTAATTGAGTGCTAATCCTGTCCCCTTTCTTCCATTACCAAAGCAAACCCCAGTGACAGACAAATCCTTGCAATGCCACAGTTGCCTTGGCATTCCTGGCTTTAGCACCACATCAGCCATGAGCACTTGCCCTCATCCCCAAACTCTGCCTGTGCCATGGCATGGTTGCACAAAATTCCTTACATGGAGAATCAGTTTCTTTTTTTCTGTGCATCCAGTGCTGATTGCTGTTGCTGGAGATGCTATTCCAGAGCCAGATCCTAGTGACATGTGGAATCTAAATTTTGCAACTAAATTTAGTTGTCAAATCTCTCTGTCGTGTTGACTTTTTTGGTTTATTGCTATAAAGTTTATCATAATATTTCTAAATGGAACAATTGGATGGTGCTGTGTACAGGATGCAAGGATTTGAATATATCCAGTGAACATTTAAAGAGGAAAATTGAAAGCACCACAAAATAAAAAAGGAGGAAATATTTCAAAATACAAGTATTTCTCTGAATATTTTATCTGTGTTTGTTTCAGAGCAACACAAGATATTTTTGAACAGAATTTTTCTTGTAAAGATAATCCAGGCATTTTATAGTGGGATTCAACATGGTATTTATTTTCATTCATGGCTAAGTGGGTATTTCATTAATGCTAATTCACAAAACAGTCTTTTCTCAAAGAAATAAAAATAAATACATTCTTCAAAGTAAATGAAAATAACATAAATACAAGAATTGTCATTATGCTGAGTAGTAAAGCTAAGTATGCTGTTTCATAAAATTATCCCAGGGAAATGGAACGATGAACAATGAAAATTTCAGGAATAATGAATCTTGTGCAAGATATTCAGGCTGACAAACATGGTGGGTAAAATGACCACAAAAGTTCAAGTTTTCCCTCGCCATTGCAAATACCTTTTGTCATGCTTTTAATCTTCCCCAGAGGGGACGGCACTGACACGTAGGAACCATCTGAAATAAAGAACAGAGTGAAATCTATGGAGTTCAATGACAGCATAAGTGTCTGTGCTGATAAATTAATGAGGCAATGATGGCTGAAAGAATGACTAATAAAGGATGAGAATTCAAATAAATACACAAACACATCTGATATGAGCTGGTTTGGGCTGGGATACAGCTAATTTTCTCCACAGTGAGGGGTACAGCAGATCGGGGTGTTGTATTGCTTTGTTGTTGTCCTTTTAATAATCAGCATTACAAAATCTCCCTGGGTGTGCTTATTGCTTGCCAAAATAATTTCCAGTGCACACATAACCTTAGTCTAATAAAGAGTTACGTACACTTGAGCTATACTACATCTAAACCTGGAACAGGCCAAACGATGCAGGGAGCAGGTTGATGCTGCTGCTGGTTGTAGGTTTCTCCTGTTTACATACCTGGAGCACTACATGACCCAGACAAACCCCAGGGTACAGCATCCTCATTTTCTCCGAGGCAGTGCTCCAACACACAGCCAAAGGTTTTGTTTAATTCCTCTTCCTGGCTTTGTCATTTAGCTACCAATGCAAATGAGTCTTTTTGTAGTAAAAAGGGTAATTAATTATTTCCAAGGGGGAAACAGATATCAAAAGATATTAAAAAATATGAGGGGGGCTGAGTACAGAAGGAAAAAATATCAACCACCAAAGAAACATCAGAACTAAATAGCACAAAGAGAACAGCTACGCAAGGCATTCAGGATGATGAAAGGTGTGAGCAGTGGTTGACAGGGACTGATCTTCAGCTCACAGCTTTGGGCTCCTCTTTCCAGGAGTAACATGAGCTGACAACTCCAATTCAAGATAACGGAAGACTTCTGACATAAATTAAGGGTACCTGGAAAATGGCAAGTCCCATAACACTGATTTTATTTGTGCCAGGCAGAACTGACCCAAAGCTCCCTGACATGGGTGGATCATTTCCAGAGACTTCAGCACCCTCTGGATCAGGCCTTTGGTTAGAGAATAAAGTGATTGCTCAGCCCATACCTCCTCCAGGCTGGGAGTATTCATTGCAGGGGGATTCATCCTGAGGTCTCTTGTAATGCTTCAGGAGGGTCACAATGGCATCATGACCTAGGAAAGAAGGAGGAAATATAAGGACTTGCAGGTATCTCAGTAGTCTTTTTTGGTTTTGTTGTTTCTGTTTTGTTTTGGTTTGTTTTTTTGTTCTTAATTGATTGATTTATACAAAATCAAGGGATTTTTTTTTTAAATGTACAACATGCCTATAAAATATGCAAACAAAGACATGGTGGTGCTAATCTGAAACCTACTGTGATTCTTAACTGCAGAAATATGGGAAATTCCTGCCAGTAAAAACAAGCATGTTATCTTCATGAGTCCACCTACTCCTAAAATGTGAGATATGGCAAAGGAAAAACCTGCTGCAGAAATCCTGCAATGGAAGTTGACAACAGTCTCCAGCAGACCTGACAGGGAAACCAGTGCCTGAAAAATTTGTTTTGGAATCCTAACCCGGACAAATTTTGTCACTTATTGCTGCAGACAACTGTTTTAGCACCACAGAAACACACTTCTCCTGAAGTTTGTGCTGGATTAAGCTGACATTTAACAGAGATCTGAGAAGAATCAAAGGGCTGAGGTTTATAGTGCTTTGTGCCAGGACCTGGAGAGCAGGTGGTGAGAACTCCGTCTGCAGGCACTGAAGAGTTATTCTGCAGGGTTATCTCCTTCCCATGCTGCCCTCTCCTTGCTGCACGGCTCCTATGGATTTTGTAGCAGAAATTAGAAAGTTGAAATACCTTTCTCATAAGCCCACATCAAACAGGTCTGCTCATCCTTTTCTCCACTGGACCTGCTGGGATCACATGCTACCAGATTCATATCAGCTCCGTTATCCAGCAGGAACTGCACAAGGCGAATGTGGCCATGGTAGCAAGCGCAGTGCAATCCTGGAACACCAGAGAAGTGTGGGGAGCACAAGTCTCACAACATGGCAATATCACTGCAGCAATAACTGTAAAGTACAGATTGATTTCCTCGATAAAGGAATATATTGTCAAAAAATACCCGAGGCAAGAGGTGGAAATTAAACATTAAGGCTACAAGAACCAATCTATTGCCTCTGCATGATGTGTCAGCATTTCCTCTGCCACCTGCAAACCACATTTAATGACTCTGCACGTGGGAAAAGCAAGTAGAAATAAAGGCAGCTCTTTGTAGTAGGGACAGGGGTGTGTGCAGCTCTTCAGACACTATACCCTAGAAGCCTAGCTCCTTGCAGAATAATTCCTAACACTACTTAGAAGCCTCGCTATAGGATGAACAGTTCAGGCCAGGTTTTGTTACTCATATACATGCTAACAAGCCTGACACATCCTCACTGCAGTCTTATCACTTTTATGCCTGCCTGCAAAAATATTTCAAAAACTTGTGCTTTGTCTGAAAGGTACTTGGATGCTGGTCATCCAATTACCTTGGGATTACCCTGGAAATCCTGATGGTGTATGGCTTCCTGATATTTTAGTGCTGGTATATGCCCTCATACACAATCAGGATGGTGATGTTACCTGTGTGCCCATCTCTTCCCTGGTGATTGATGCTTACAACATTCTGGTCAAGAAGAAACTTGACAAGTTCTATGTTCTTTCCATAGGTGCAAGCGCTGCAGAAGTAAAGGGAGTGGTGAATGCTATAGTCTATAAAAGAAGTGCCTTGGGTAGCAAAAAATTTACAAAGAATAACAGGGAGATAAAAATGCAGTAATAAAGGATCTTTAGAAATGTGCAAATGCACGATTAATCCACCAAAGCATGTTCCTTTTTATTGTTTCAGAAACATTCTAATTATTGCTGAATAAATTAATTTTGCACAGCTGTGCAAACAGTCTGTGTTGCAAAGTGTCTCTTAAATAGCCCTTTACAAAGTTCCAGCATCCTGACCAAACTGTGCTCTGCCACCTGGTTTCTCATTCCGAGTACTTGCCTCCAGCAGGCATACAGGTGGAACAGGGGCTGGGCTCAGCTCCCAGACTGGACAAGGAGAGGAATCATTGTCCATCCAGGTGTTGGTGAACCTGGTGCCTTTCCTACCTTCCTCGCTCTCACTTGCTCTCTCCTCACTCTGGTTCTGTCTCTCACTTCATGCCCTCTCCTGTATCTCACGACAGAAACTCACCCTCCCTGTTGAGCTCTCTGCTTGCTCTGTCCCTCACCTGGCAGCTGCTGAGACGTTGGTAATTTTGGACGCTGTGTTGCAGGTGTGTGTTAGTGGAGCTCTATTGATAATGGCATTTGAACACCTCACCTGTGAAAAGCTGTTTCACTGAATATATTTTCTTTAGTGAGACTTTCTGTTCCTGAGAGCTGAATTATTTCTTTGACAACTTCAAACTTCCCATTGTAACAGGCACTGAAGAGGAAGCCAGTACAGAGCTGTTAGCAATGCCAGCCTTCCCACTAGCCCCAAACCCACTCAACAGCTGCTCTGGGGCACTCACAGGTGTAGGGGTGTGTCTCCGTAGATATTCACCACGTGAGGCTGCACTTCGAAGCTGCTCTGCAGTAAGAACTTCACAATTTCATGGTGCCCAAATCGAGAGCAGAAGTGCAGAGGAACATGATCTTCATTGTCTTGAGCATTCACTGCCAGTTGACCCAGAAAGAGACCACAGAAAGGATTTTATACTTAACACACAATATTTAGTAAAGCTTTATGTGTTGTGCTTATACATATATCTGCTGCTAAAATATTTATGGACCTACTTGTTTAAAACTGAAATTTCTGTGGTCTTTCATACTGCTCTGTGCCATCTGCAGTGCAGTGTCAAGGCGACCTTCTGGACTTGAAACATAATTGCTTTCTTCCAGCAGCAGACTTATTGAATGCTTTGAGGAAGTTTTCCACGAATGAATCACAAGTTATAAATGACCCTTACAAAGAGCAATTGTGAAGCAAAAGGAAGATAACAACATCAACATGACTGGGAACCTCCAGGTAGCACAGAACCACTGGCATAGCAAATATTAGCAAGCTATTCTCAGTGTGGTTGCATGGAGCGGCCCCAGAGGATCCTTGATCTGCGGGTGGGAATTGTGTGAGACTTCCAGCTATCTTTGGCTACATCCATGCCAGGGAGCCTTCTGCCTGTTTATGGGGTGGGCAATTGCATTCCAGCACCAGAAATGGGTATCGAGGTACCTTATATGGCTCTTCCTTCATCTATCCTGTAGGGAGTGAAGAAGAGATTGGACAAGGCTCTAGGCAGAGTTCTCCATTGTTACAGACACCTACAGATACTGTTTTCATTATCTGAAAAAGGTCTTTACTCAGCTTGAAAGACAGCATGTATTTCTGTGATTCTCAGTGTATTCTTCCTGTGTTTAAAGACAGAACAACCATAACTAGTTGATTTTGTAACTGATAGAAATGACAAACCCAGTCTACTTTGTGTGACTTTTAGTTCAGCCTTTGCACCAAAGGCATCAGGTCTTTTAGGCAGTTTACAAGAAATGAAGAGACTACTGTCCATTAGAGATGTTCTAACCTGCACTCCCAGGCTTTTACACTGACAAACTTATAACTCTGACAAACATCCCTCAGGAACATCTTTCCTACAGCTAAGCCTCCTCAGCACAGAGATGAAACCAACCACATTCTGAGAGTTTGTCTTCTCTTTGATTTTCTGTGAGCATTAAGAGCAATGAAAATTAAAATAAATCACCGTTTTAAAACCTTTCTGAAATAATGATGAATGCTCACAGTTCAGTCCTTTGAAATGCTGGATTCTGTTTCAGGCCAAAAAAAAGAAAAAGTAATGCCTGTAACTGTAATTAATCTTGTGGCCCACAAACATCATTAACTGCTCCTGCTAAACTTCCTAGCAGTCTTGTATATAAGAAGTAAAGAAAAGCAAACTCTTTTTCTTCTCTATTCTAAAATAATTCTTCACTTTATAGATTCATGTGACATGCTGGCCTTTATTTTTTATTATGATGTGGTACCAGGCATTCTGGTACCATTTTGCCAGATACATTCCGAAGTGCAATAAATAAGAGGGGAATAAATATCAAAATTTTATAATGATAAATGTCAGCATTTTACAGTATGTCCCCACAGAATGTCCTGAAGGACATCAAGGGCTTCAGTCCACAACACAACAAGGTGCAAGGTGGAGCAAGAATATATATCTCCTTTATATATCCAGTTGGAACTGATGTCAAATGCCTGCAAACCATTTCCTTTGGCTCTAGAAGGATCTGTAACTACACAGTGGGATGACTGGTTTTGTTTCAATTGATAGTTTTTTGATTTCTAAATGAAGCACACCAGGTACACTGGAATAGTTTAAAAGAAGAAGTTTACATTCAAACCAAAAAATAATTGGTCAAAAACACCTTTGAAGAGTATTATGGAGAAAAAGTACATCATATTGATTCAGGAATTACTAAAGAAGAGTATAGGAGAGTTCTTAAAATTGAGATTTTTTTAATTAAATTGAGGATAGTATAACTGTCATGGCAGTCAGGGACTGAAAACTGAGGTTGCCTTACAAGTAAATAGTAAAACTGAGCAAATGCCAAGTTCTTGCCTGTGAAAAAAAAAGGAATTCTGTAGAAATTATTCTTAGCACTGAGACATGACATTGGTAGAAAGTAACAGGTGAAACCATGACCATAAGTGAAAGGATGAAAAAAGGACAGTGCAAGAAATGTGCTTGAAAGAGCTTATGGGATTTCTGAAAATACAGAGTTTCTTAGTCCTTCCCCAGAGTGTTTATGCTAAAACAAATGATGGGATTGGCATGTGGAGAACTGGCAGCACTTGTAACATTGGCTTATATGTGGGCCATGTGTAAAACATGGACATTTGCCATGACACACATAGGCAGCACTTTTCTTTTATATTTTTTTCTCCTAATTTGTGGTTGTTCTGAAGAAGAACTTTGGCCATTGTTAGGCTGCAAATGTTCTTTATTTCAGCAGCATTCTGACCTTTTCAGCCTGATTTGGTGGTCACTGCTTGTCTTCAGTCACAGTGGTTTTGGAGCTGACTAACGAGTCAGGTTATGTTAAAAGAGATAGTTCAAGTTTGTGACCCCAATTACTGGTCTGCACTGAACACTGTCAAATTTATTCAGGTTCTTTCCCCAGTTCCTTTCATTCCTGAGCATTGAAGACTTGTTCCTCTGCTGCTGCATTTATAGCAAGTTTCAAAGTGTGCTGCTTTGAGAGCAAAAGACTTCCCGCTTCCAGTCTCCCTTTTCTTTTTCCTGTGCTGAAGATTCTGATTTTAAAGAAAAGGACCTGAAATAGTGCCCCAGATTCTTTCCTTTTGGAATAAACTCTCTAACGGAGAGTAAACCTCCCACTGCCTTGTTATGGTGGGTGAATGTCTCTTCTTTCCCCTCTTTTTTATAATTATATCAGCTCAGTGCACACACATTGAGGCAGCAACACCCTGAGCTCGTACTGACAACAGCTCGTACAGACCTGACTGTGCTGCTTCCCTCCATGTTTTTTACTGCGTGAGGAGGACGTGTGACTGCAGGCAGGATGCACAGAGAACATCATAAATTGATGTACTATAGAGCAGTACTTTTCTGAGTAATATACTGTTCCTTTCAAAAAAAATTTCTGTCTCTTGCTCTGAGGATAAGAAATTAGTTTCCAAATATTTTTAATATTGCTCAGTATTTCACAGAATCATAGAATGGCCTGGGTTGGAAAAGACCATAAAGACCATCCAGTTCCAACCCCATGCCATGGGCAAGGACACGTTCCACTCAACGAGGCTGCTCAGAGCTTCATCCACCCTGGCCTTGAACACTTCCAGGGATGGGGCAGCCACAGCTTCTCTGGGCAACCTGTGCCAAGGCCTCACCATCCTCACCATCCTCACATACCACAGGATATTTTTTCCTAATATCCAATCTAAACCTACTCTCTGTTAGGTTGAAGCCATTCTTCCTTGTTCTATCACTCCAGGCCCTTGTAAATAGTCTCTCTCCATCCTTCTTGCAGGCTCCCTTCAGGTACAGATTAGAATCTCCACAGTAATAATCATAATATGCATAAAATGCGACCTCTAAGTTTTAACATTTATATGGCTTTGTAGAATATGTCACCACTGTGTGTGACACAGATGTCACAGGAATAGAAGAGCAAGACTGGAGTGTGGCACATTTTGTGCCTTCAATGCTACTGAAACAGCAAAAGCAGAGGGCACCAGCTGCACACTGACATCAGTCACAAGTGAAAATATTTCAGATTGCAACACATGCAAAATATACAGCAATGAGATGTAATGTCACAGACTGACATCGCTGTGAGGCCACCTGGACAAAGAACATGCAGACTCCTGACCCTCACAGAACACCCAAGGTGGGCTGAAAGACTTTTGTATCTGTCCAGCCCATCACGTCTCCACATAGGCACTCTCTCTGACAGCAAATACCCCACAGTGAAGAGTATGAAATTTGTGCAGCATAATAAAGCATGTGCTAAAAAGATCTCATTTTCTGTGGAACTTCAACTTCCATATGAATTATTTTACATTACTTGCTTCATAATTTTGACTTAAACCCCTCCATCTGTATCTCATTCACTAGTTCCCTGTGCACTGAAGTCACTTTGACTGCAGATCCCCACTCCATGGCCACATGTTCCCTGCTTGATGATTGCCTCAGGAGTGAGTCATCTCTGTATATTAATCTTAATTTTTTTTTCTGCTCCTCTTTTTCACCTCTAACTTATTACTGGAAACAGAGTACATGTGAGATGACAAACAAACAAAATTAAATGAGAAAAACTCTCCAACTGCTGGTTTTTTTTTCAGTTGCCCAAAGATGATACACACACACACACACACATACACAGAGCAAGTGTTAGGAAATGAAGACTCTGTCTATAAAACACAATGTTAGAGCTGATTTTTAAATATCTTTTCTTACCATCAGCTTTACTTCCCTCTTCCATCAAGAGCTTTGTGATGTTGAGAAAGCCTTTGGCAGCAGCCAGATGGAGAGGTCTGTCCCCAACTTCACCACTTGCATTCACATCAGCTCCGAACTTCAGTAAGAGGTGGGTTACCTAAATATTTGATAAAGGTTACTTAAAATATCACATGAAAATAAAACTTTGAGAAAATTAGACACAGTATTGCGTTGGGTAATACTGCATGTGGGTATCTCTATAAAGTTAAAACAAGGAGAGGAGATTCAATAGAAGATTAATTTTTAAGTTACACATTTATAAAAATATTAAAATTCTCAAAAGCAAGCGCTCATTCATTCTCTAAAATGTCCTCTATGGTGAATGGACACCAAACACATTTGTTTGAATGACTTGTCAGCATAATAAAGGAAATGCCCTCAAAGTCCCCAAAAGCCAGAGCTGTGGCTCCTGCCTGATTGGTCTCTTATCCCAGAGTCCCTTGAGCTTTCAGGATCATCTCACAGGACTGTGACTGTTCTGCAGTGGCTTGTGGCACACAAGCAAACTAATCTCAGCCCACACAGGAGGAGTTTCTTCTGGATCATGAGATACACAGATATGAAAGCAGCACCTTGGGAACAAGCCCATGGCTCACTCACACCCCTGTCTCACCCAGCACAGAGCAGAGTGTTCCAAACATCAATGCATCTGCACCCTCTGCTTTCAAAAGCTTTTCCTAGACAACTCCTCAATGCACTCAAAGTAACACCTCACTGGAATGGAAAAGATGCTCTGCCTAGAGGTCATCCATTGAAACTTTAGAACACCCCAGAACACAAGGTTTTTAGCCAAAGCAAGACACAGGGAATGACTTGCATAAGCCAAACAGACCCATTACCACAGTTCATATGAAAAAGCTGTTCAGGGTTGTGGATTAGCCATGTGTCAATTGTACTGCCCAAATATACAGAAGAAAGAGAGCTGAGGGTGTCAATGCCGGCTTTGGTCAGAACTCTAGACTGTGTTTCAGTAAGTCTGTCATCTGTGTGAATGGAGCAAGCTCAGCTGCACTGATCATGTGCACAGCACCTCAGGGAAAATCATGCTCTCTAAATGACTATTTTTTTCCACTAATTTAACAGTTTGTGAGTTCCAAGGAAAATTGATAGAATTGCCATTTAATTATTTCAGGGAAGTGATATTCACTTCCTTGGAGAGGTTCAGAAAGCACAGTCAAGATTCCTTAGGCAATCTCTGATACACGGGGTGAATGAACAGCAGATGAAAAGTGCCACCGGGCACAAGCCTGCCCATCAAAGCTTGCTAGAGAATGCTTTGTTTCGAGGTCTCAGGGGCAAAACACCAGTTTTTGCTGGGGTCCAGTACACAAGATGGATGTGCAGAAATTTCTTGTTGATATTCAGACTTGCAGGGCAACCAGAAATGTTTAGTTATGCAGAGTGTAACTTCAGTGTATGAAGCCTTTGCATGGAATGACCCTCTGGAATGTAAAGCAGAAACATCTAGCACTAAACCTATGGATGCCTCGGTGATCCCCTGCTCAAGTGTCCGAATCCCGCCTTAGTTACCTGCTCGTGGCCATAATAAGCAGCAATGTGCAGGGGGGTGAAGAACACAGCATCCTGCACATTCACATAGGCCCCGTGCTGCAGGAGAATATCCACAGCCTGCAAGGAGACCAATAGAAAATTCCAATTAAACGAATATATACATATACACACACACACACACACACACACACACACACACGTGTGGTCAGCTGGTAAAACAGGACTTTGAAACCTCATGTCACCAGTTTAAAAAAAGTCAAAAAGCTCCAAACAAGCATACATAAAGGTGCAGGGCTGCATACTGCATGTAAAAGTGATTAACTTACAGTACTTCAACTGAACACTGAATGTCACTGATGCTTTACAAATAAACCTGAAAATCGGTGTGCCAGTAAAAATACTGATTTATGAAGTAAGAGACACAGAAATGACTGTCTGGATTTTCAATGTTTAATTTTCTTTTAACCATTATGAACAAAGAGCTGTAAACACATCAGAGTTTTTAGACGTGAAAATGTCCCACAAAATGAAACATCCTTTTAAATTTAGGTGTGTGAAAGTAAATCCTCAAACATAATTCCCTAAGCGTGTAAAGATTACTTTGTATTTTAGAAGAAAATAGCTCTTTGGCTTCAATAAATAACCCTAAGTGTTTTCTTTCAAATTTCTCCCTTTCTGGTCCTTCAGGAGGCCCATGTTTTCCTAGACATCTATGAACTCTCAAGTATTGCCTTGCTGCACAGCTGCCAAAATAGAAGCCCGAGTGAAACCACTTTGGGCTCTTCACTGAAGCCTGAATGAAACCACTTTGGGCTCTTCACTGGAGCCTGAGGACTGCTCATTTTAATGAAGCATGAGGGAGTCTTTGGGCACACGAAGGGCTTGTGCCAGGGATTATTTCAAAAGTTCTACATATCGTTTTGAAGAATGCTAAGTTTTGAGTCTAATGATTATGAAAAATGCTGGACCACGAGTCACCCACAGTACAGCGAGGAATTGGGATCCACCTCTGCCCTGATAGGAAGGACTGACAAGGATGGGGAAGTGGCTAACTCCTGTGTCACACTGTGTGTAGCTGTACCTGTCCACAGAGACCCCCCTGAAGATGCCCAGAAATGCCAGCTGTGGTGATGCACAGGTCTGTCACCTGCTCTCTAGATTGAGACCCCCAAACCATGTCACACATGCAGCAACAGGGCTAGTAATTTCAATCCACATCACTCCCAAGTGCTCAGAGAACACAAACTGTTTCCAAGCAACATCAGTGTACAGGGATTGTTCCTTTGCACAATTTAAATCAAAATAATTTTTTCCATGTGACTGTCTGAATACATTTGCTGCATAAGGTCTGTCCCCCAACATATTTAAATATGTCCATTTCCCATTAGTTTTAATCATCTCTCCACGGCATCAGCTGTAACCCTCCCTGGAGACAGCACTGCAGGGCCAGGTCTGATTATTCCCAAGGATGGAGGTTCTGCATCCTCCTAGGAATGCTCTCCGTGTTGCACCACTCTCATTGTGATCCCCTTGCCCCTTTTATATACAGTCAGAATTTCCCTTGCTAAATCTCATGTGCATTGACATCCTCTTGCCGTGGATCTTAAAGAGGAGTGTAACTGCGTAATGAAAATCTTACGAAAGATCCACGGAGATCTTTGGAGAAGCTGCTGGCCCTTCTCTCAGCTGAAGGACAGCTCAGCAACAGGCACTCACTGGATGGGTGTGAATGTGTTCAGGTAGTAAATAAAGAACACCCTCAGTTATTTGGTTAACACAAGTAACTTCCCCTACTGGGCTTCCCATGGGCAGTCAATTTTCAATATCCTGGTAGCTTGGTGGGCCAGAGGTGGGAACATAGACCCAGTTAGCCTAGAATTTAATGGTTTAGTGGCTTTCAAGTGATTAATTTCAGACATTTTTCAGAAAATTAACATCATAAAACTGAAGTTGTAGCTGTTGGCTCTGAAAAGAGACGTTTGGACCTGTAGCTTTTACATGAATATGGTTGAAACTTCTTTGGATGAGTTTGATTTTAATTTAGCCATGAACTGTGAGGCTCTAACACACACAGGGATGTGATCACAACTCCAGTTCTCCTTATTCGCTTTGGAAGCTGGAATTCAAAATTTAGATTCCTCTACGAGCTTCAAGGTGGATCTTTAAGATGAAAAAACTGCGTTGAGTGATGTGAATCCACCTCTGATGATGAACATAAAACCAGATGAATTTTGACACATTTTCCAGGCTGTAGCAATGGCAGCCGTGCTTGCTGCTTTGTGATCTCCTGAGAAATGGAATTTTGTGTGCTGCATTAAGCAAACTCCACTCAAGTGTAAATGATGAGAGGGGTACAGAGGCAGGCTTGATAGTCTCTCAGACAAGATATCTTTCTAGGAAAGAAAAAAGGAGTCTTAGAAAGCACTGAAAGCTGTCATAGGCATCACAGGTAGGGGGGGATGATGGGGGATGTGCAAGGATAGAAATACTTCAGAAACTAAGGGGAAAATTTCTGATGCAAAAAAAGCTTTGAATTCTTGCAGAAGGACCAAAAAAAAAAAAGATTTTTCTCCTCAGGAGACAGACTGGGAGTGAAGGTGCAGCTCATAAACCAGGGGACATTCCCAAGCTGCATAGAAAGAAGCTGGATGGGCTGGTCATGAAGGCAGCTGGCAGTGTCCTGGTTGGATTCACTGCGGCACAGGCTGAAGAACCAGGGGAACAAGCACTCCCCTTTCCCTCGCACAATTAATCTTCAATTCAAAATGATACTTTGACTTTTACTTCATAATTTTTCTTAAAGTTCTCTTATGAAAGGTTTATTCAGATGCTTTTTGAACGTTCAAGTCAATGACGTTCACTTCAAAGACAGTTAATTAAGCCACTCTGAAGGTTAGAAGGAGTCAACATATTAAAACATGAGACAGACATAAGGACTTTGTGTTTTGGACAAGGGTAAGGGATAAGAACTCCTCTAAGAAAACAAGAACAGTGATGACTGACTTTTTAGAAGACAATTTCAGCAATTAAGGCCTTTGCACAGTGCTAGCCTCTGTACAGCCATACACTGAAATATCTACAGAAACCCTGAGAAGGGATTCACTCCCTTTTCCCCAACAGGTCCTTGGCACACACACACTCACAGCCCAGGTCCTCAGGTGTGCAGATACAGAAATGGAGTGGCACTGGTTCATCCTGCCTGTGACCCTTCGTTCAGCCCCCACATCTGCAGGTCTTGCAGTCTCAGAATGACAACTGTGATTTACAACATGCAATAGGCAGTGGCCTTGGCTTTCCAAGGTGCTAACATTGGACAACACATAAATGTGGATGAGGCACATGCATTATTTATTTAGCAGTGACCTCACTGGGCTTGAAACATTTAATATTTTCAAAATAACAGACTTAATGAGAGATTTATGGAACTTATTTGCCAACGTTTCTAATATGGTCACCCATTTCTTTTCTAATTTTTCATTAATTTTTAATTCTTCCCATTGAGAACTGCAATTTTCATTAACAGGTAAAATCAGCAGACAACATATTTTTGGTGAAGTAAAATACAGCCCTAAGTCAAAGAACATGAAATATTTAATACACCACACTGGCTCAAATGAGATACAACATCCCATTGACACCAATGCCTCGTCCCAGAGAACTGATCCCTTCAGTGGTTTCAAGTCTGGTGATGAAGCAGAAGCTATAGACTGACTCTTCAAGGAAATGGGGAAAAAAGAAGTTTTTTACTCAGTTTTCTTTATTTTCGTCCTAAATATAAGTCAGTTGTCTCCTGTAGTAAAAATCTATGTTGCATGGATTGAGGCATATACCTCTGCTATTTATTTAATGGTATAAATAATGATTTACCTTGTTTAAATTAAGAAGACAACCAAAAATTGATTCCCTTTTTCTTAAATTTATTCTAGTTATTAGGGGGGGTTGAAATAATTATTCCATATTTCCATGAATATTAATGAAATTGTGAACAAAACAAGCTACTTAATCTAGCAGAGGAGCTTCTAAACTGAGTGGAAATTTCACAGCTATATAAAGAAGGAAAGCAAGAGCTTGCACTTGGACCATAAATCCTCAGTCCTCAGAGCAGCAGATGAACCAAATGAGTTATACAGAGTCCCACTTCATTTATGGAGATGCTTCTGATACAGGTCTGATCATTCCCAAGGAAGAAGTAAGGGACATTTCAAAACCACTCATACTTTATTTCTTATGAATTTAATGAGCTTATCCTTGTAAGGTTCTGAGCACCCTTATTTCTCCATAACCTCAGCAGAAACTCAGGACATGGGATCAATAGCAGACCTGCCTTTGGCATTTGCAGGAAAAAGCCCAAACATTTTAAAAATTACTTGAAACCGTGGATCAGAGAAGAGCACGTTGTACTGCCCACAGAGGAGACAGTAAATACCCGTGAACAAGACCATCCCAGAGTTAACAGCTCCACCATCATTCCACACAGAACTATTAGAATCAAAGAATCATTAAGGTTGGAAAAGACCTCCAAGATCATCAAGTCCAGCCTCTGATGTGGTGGCTATGGAGGTTCCTTACCTGTGTTTTAGTAAGGGGACACAGAAGGAAGGATGTGCGTTAGGCCAACAAGAGCTGTGTGTGCACTGGAAGGGAATGGTGGGATGTCCATGGGCTTGGGGGTGTGATGCTACAGCACAACCCCACTGTTCCACTCTCTCCCCAGCCTCACTGGTGGGCCAACATACCATCAGCCTCCCCCCTGTGTCTGGGGAGCTGACCTTCCCAACATGAGTGGTAACCCTGCCCTGCCAGCACATTCCCTCATCACCAGCTGGAACTGATGCTACAGATTGATTTGTTCGATCCAAAAGTTACTGGCTTTTTAATGGAGTTCCTCACCATGACCACTCATAAATTGTCCTGGCCTTCCTTCAGCTTGACCTTCCTCAGACACACAGACTCCTGGCTAACCAGGACCATCACTGACGGTGACTCTGCTCACCCCTGTGAGCTGGGAAGCGCAAAAAGACCTACTGGATTTAAATAATTTTGGAACTGCTTTGAAGGCTGCAAGGTTAAGCCAAATTTACCAGTATCCTCAGTTCCAGTACTTAAAAATAAATTCTCAGTATTTATTTTTAAAAATGAATAAATTATACTGAGGGAGCTGTCGCTAGAGTGACAGAAATGAGATGGTGTGTGAAATGCCTGAACTGAGGTGGTAAATGATAAGAGAACTGATACATGACTGACAGCATGTCTAGAAAGGGAAGGGCCTGATTACAGGCACCTGGGGAACCTCATCCTCTCTTCCTTTCTCTGCTCCTCATAGTGAGAAGTCTCCAACCCATAGAAGACTTATCAATATGGATGTCTAAGATTCATGCCATACTCACCCTGGCAACAGCTTTCTCTGCACTAATCCAAAGCATAAAATAGATCTAAAACAAGAACCTCACCCCTTTCTGAAGTGGCAATCACAGAGCTGTGAAGCAGAGCCTGTGACACCTGGAAGAGAGAGTAAAACTCTTTTACTCTGATTCCTTCACACTCAGAAAGACAGTATTTGGAAGACTCTCTCCATATCCAGGTTCAGAAACCCTGACATGTATGAGTGAGTGTTTCATCACGTATCTCTTGGTTAACACTTCTGATATTTAGAAAACAGCACTATCTATTCCCAAGACTTTAAAGACATTTATCAAAAGGCAAGAGATGTACAAACAGATCTGTGTTCTTTGTACGTGTTTGTTCAATGCAAAAATATACACACAGATGTGGTTTTCCCAAAATGCAGAAAAAGTTAAATAAAATCCATCTGTACTTAAACAGCTCTGAGTTTTGTTTTGAAAGGCATCAGTGTAAAACAGAATGACCTGCTAATATTAGCACTCACCTGTATAAGTCCTGTACAGCAAAGAGAGACGTACCTTGTGGTGGCCGGCGATGGTGGCAACGTGCAGGGCCGTGAGCGCTCCGTACCCGACCTGCTGGATGTCAGCCCCGCCGTGCAGCAGTGCTGTGAGCAGCTCCACGTTGTCCTAAACGCCACAGATTTAACCCACATCATTTCTGGGGCACAGCTCTCACAGCTGAATTGAGCAGGACCAACCTCGGCTTCCCTGGCTGTGACACTGCTGGCCGTGATGGCCAGGGGGCCAGGGGCTTGGGGAGCATGGAGAGGGGGAGAAGGTTTGTCCCACCACCAGACGTCTCTCCTGCTATACTAAAACCTGTATCTTAAAAATGCCTTGATCCTGATTTTATGGTGGCACTGGACAACTCCTCTATCCCGAGTTGCATTGCATGATTGAATCAGTAATTCCAAAGCAGTTTCCCACCCCATGGATGACATTGCAAAAGCACATGCTAATTCCTGTGCACGGGCTCTTTATAGGGCATTTTCCTATGCACCATAAATGTGAAATTTATATTTTCACCAGAAGTAAACAACTACTGAGCTCAGACAGTTCAGACAAATCAGCTGCTCAGTTCTGATTTCCTGTCATCAATTTCACTCAAAATAATTAACCTTATAAGCTGCCAAGTGCAGAGCTGTAAATCCATTTCTTGTCAGCCTGGATGGGCGCAGCCCTTTCAGCATCAGAGTTCTGATATGCGACTTGTTGCCTTTAGAGAGAAAAGTGGAAAACAAAGCCAGTTACAGGAAAGAAAGTGCAGATGAGGTAAGAAGCTCCTGTGTGAGTTTGAAAGCAGAGAATCGAGTAGTGTGACTTTTGACCTGAGGCAAGTCATAAAATATATCCTGTGAATCCTTGAAATGAGGTTGATGGAAACATTTCCCTGTTGTCCAGGACAGCTGTGGGTCTGGCCATGTAGTGGCTGCTTGTTCACACTTTAACAAGGATTTGGTAAGGGTAGTTGAACTTCTAGAGAAACAGTTCCTCCTCTAATGTCTAGACCATGCTTCAAAAAGCTCCATGGACCAGGAGGTGCTTCCAGAATCTCTAGTTCCTCAGACACTGAGCTCCTTTGCCCTCTCAGAATCAGAGCACTGCTGTCCCTACACACCATCCTTACAGGGACAGTCATTTTGGGTCAACATGGCAAGTAGCTTTGCTCTGACCTCTTGGATGCACAGTGATCATTTCAATAAATGCATCTGCCTTCTGAATCCTTGAAACAGTAACCAAAGACAATGTTGGATCTAGTAGCTCCTCACCCTCCTCCAAGTGCTCATACAACTAATTAATAGTGTGTGTTTTCCTAAACTTCCTCTCAGCAACCCCACCAACTGATGTGATCCTTGGACAGGATCTTGTACTCTGAAATGATGAGTAAAGACCCACTCAGTTTTCAGCAGTGCAAAATCAAGTTTATCCTCATGGTAAAATCTAACTAAGACTCAGTAAATCACTTATACATGTCGTTAGTCAGTACTTTGCAGCGCTGAAACCTCAGGGTTAAATTCTCTTTGCCTCTCTCAGACAATTTCTGCTAAAAATGGTATAACAGGAGTAAAGTATGTGCATGAACTAATGACTCGCTGTGGATAACAGAGCAGCTGTGTGGATCCAAGAGGAAAATCCCACCATTAGTGTGTTTTTATGAACATCCCAGAAGAAATCTTGCCCTCTTTTCTTATGTACTCTGATCTTCTATCTGCCAAAGCCCTATAAGCTGATATTTGTCACTAAAGCATTTGAGTTATTCTTCTTTTAATCTTTGTGAAATAAAATACAGGTATTTTCATTACACTAGAAAAACTGGTGGTGTAAGTATGGCATAGTGTTGCTACAACAAGGTCACTGTCCTGGAGTTTGTGCCATGCACAGAACCCAGAAAGGGGAGCCATGCTCTGTGATGGGTGTGGATTAACAAATGCATTTAGAAGCAGTTTTGACTGAGGTGAACACCTGTAGTAAAACATGCTGCATCATCAACCAGAACTTTCCTTAGACTGAAGAATCAGCTGTAACAGGGCTCAGTGTAACTCAATTCAACCCCCTGGCAATGCAGCTCAGAGTGATGCTGAGAGATTCTCCTCCAGCTGAGAAATTCTCATAAAATACAGTCCTCCTGACAGCTATCAGCCATAAAAAAATCAGTAATCATCCAAATAAACTATTTAACCATCCTGTTTCAGATACCTACCCCCACATCCACAGCACAGATGGAGCAGCGAGAGCCCGTTCTCAGTGCGGTAATTTAAATTGACTTTGCAGAAGGCTTCATCAGAGCTGAAAAAGGGATTTTACAGATGATTACTGCTCTCATCCTTCACCACAGCTTCTTGCATTTAAGAAACATTTAAAAGATAAATCTCAAAATAATTTTTTTGAGACACAAGCCTGAATTTATGCCCAGTTCACAGTTGTTTCAGTTTGTTTTCTTAATGATATTCAATTTTAATCATTAGAGTTCCTACAAACCGGTAACATTTTCATGTTTTTGTGGGAAAATATGGCAATGAAAGTTTTATATATTCAAAGCTGCAATTAAAAGGCCTGTATTGAAAATAAGAACTAGCTCGAATGACTGTGATGAGGGCCCAGCTTTATCCAGGTCTCCTCCTAAATCCTTCCTTTAGACTGCATTGCTTCATTGTGTTTTAAGGAAAAGAAATTCTGATAGTTTATTATTAGGGTGGCCTTAGTGAACCGTTGCATGAACAGCTGTGAGACACAGGCACAGAGTAGGGACACCTTTTACCCAACAAGTGCCAGTGCCATGCTACTGATGTGTTGACTCTCCACTATTTGAACTGTTTTATTTCTGTGGCACTGGACAATTCCCTCTGACCTGTACATGTGTCCCCTGAGTACAAATGGGAAGCTGACAACTTGTTCTTTGGCCAGGGTTTGTCACTTCTGTAAGGTTTGCCTTCAGAGCAGGGACTTTACCAGCAACTTGTTTCATTTCTATCAGGGAAATGACCTTCCTTGACTCATTGCCCAACTACCATCCAGTTTCTCAGTCCTGAATTTTTTAAATATAAGGATTAATGAGAAGTTTTCCAAAATCAACCACTGCTGCTGTAGAAGAGTTTTTCCTATAGACAAGAGGCCATATTTGGATTTTAGATATTCAGAAGACCGGAGTGACCTCATTCCCCATGGGTGAGGGCAGCTTTTGGAAATTAAATCACTGACTGATTCCTCAAACCTGACTTAAAAAGAAAAGCCTTTCCACTACAATGTCATCAGGATCATTAATTCTCACTCCTTTGGTGAGAGGAGCAGGGCTCTGTAGCTAAGGAGAAGAGTTTGGCTGACATTGAGACTTACCTGGGCCCGACTGAGCTGAGCTACCAGAGCTCTCCTAACCTTGAAAGGAGTTTTTAATTTATTCTTATGCCTAATTCAGTATTTAGCATTTCCACCATATACTCCCTTGTCTTGCTTATCTAAAATAAAGAGTACTCTGATTCCAGTTTGTTAAAATGATCACTTTTACTACTAAACAGGGGTAAAACGAGGTAACTATTTAACTAGAGCATAGCCAAAGTGGTCAGCACACTGCAGAGAAAGCCCAGTGGTTCAAACTGTGATAGCTGTGGCAGCTGAAACTGAGCACAAGGAATAATTTATATTGCTAGGTTGGTTTTTTGAGCTTATGATTTATTTCTGATTAGAATCCCCTGTTTTCTCAGCTGGTTTTGATGTCTGAAATGATTTGTCTGATCATTTTCTCAACTTATTCCCAGTCTGTGAGCTGGATGTTTGTTGCACTGGAGCTCTGCAGATAATGAACACACCAGTGTGTTACTTGGTTGGGTGAACCTGGTTGTGAGCACGTCTATCCTGAGAAAACCATTCCAATTCTGAATTTGAATCCACTGGTTTTGTACTTGTTTACAGAGTGAAACTTCAGCAATATTCCTGGCTGCAGAAACACATTAGCAAAACTGAAAAGTGCACAGCAAAGTCAGACATCCCACTAAAGCTAACTAATTTCAAAAGCATATAGGTGTTTATTGTAAAACACTGGCATTAACAGTCAGTAGCCACTAATTTTGGTACTCTGCTGTGGGGCTCTGCCCAGCATTGTGATGATGTATTCCCAAAAATAGAAATAAGGAGCATGCATTCCATACATGAGAAACTCCGTCCATAAAAAAACACCTGAAACCGAAAATACTGTTTGATAGCAAATACTTATTTGAAAGAAATTAATAAACAGGTTCACAGAATATTTTACCTAAAAACATGCTTCAACTCTGCCAACTCCTTTTCTTTGATTTGCAGGTCGTCCTCCAACCTCTCTGTGACTGTGACATAGGATTCACTGACTTTCTTCTTCCATTCATCTACAACAAAAACTCCGGATTGACAAAACACTTCAAAACACACAAAACCCAGAAACTCATATCATAACGTTCCAGTAACCAAACCACTTGATTTTTAAGCATCCAGTTGCACAGTTTCATATATATTTCTATTAAATTTGAAATATTACAGCTATTAAACTGTTCCTGCTGAGCCAATGCAGACACATACACACGGATTTCAGAGACAGCTCATATGTATGAATCCTTACAAGAAATATTTTAATATTAAATAATATTTAGGAGAAAACTTAAAGCTCAGGTTGCATTTGTTAGCTTTTATTTCCTAAATAGACACACAGCAGAAAATGATTGGAAATGTAAAGGTTTTCTTAATGAAGCATGAGTTAAATCAACATAATAATCTAAGTTAATATGATCTTATATAATTTCTCAAAGAAATTTAGTTTAGTAGCTTTTTTCCTTCTTTCATAGTCTGTATCTGAGTTAAGTCAAGAACAATACCTGAGCCTTGAACTCAAGAGTAAAGCAGCAATGAGTTATCTCCTGAAATACTATTTGCTCCTTGCCGAGGGATGGGTGGCACATTGCCTGTAAAAAAGTGACATTAGTTACCCGTGCAAGTCTGGGTTGGTCTAGATTTATAATTTCCCATTTGTCCAATATATCTTCTTTGTTTCAGCAAAGTTCTTGCAGTAATATGATTCCTTGTTCAGGAGTAGTGACAGTCCTGCTGAAAAATACTTGTGATAGTCTCTGGCTAAAAATAAACCCTGTGCCAAGAGGAATGTCATGCAACAATGGCACAGAGCGATACAGCCCATGCTGTCCACTGGGCTAAAATAATAGAAACACCTACTCAGCTTGCTTAAAAATCTCTTGTCTATTCCCACACAAACACCTGCCTTCATTTGTTGAATGGATGAAATTAACAGTTAAAACTGGTGGGAAGTGGTAATTTGGTAGCTTGTAACTCATTTTGTGGAGAAAAGGGAATTTAGGCAGCTAATCCCAGGTGTGCTGTGAGGATATCCAAGGAGTGCTGGGGGTCCCCAGCTCAGAGAGGCCAGGGATGATCTCAGCTCACAATGTATCCTGACACAAGGGGTGGCACTGGAGTATCTGGGTATGGTCTTTAGGAATGCAATATATAAGAAAAGTGAGATGTAAATATACACACCTATATTTATATATTTTAATATATATTTATATATATACATTTAAAGTGTTTTGATTGACTTTGGCAGCTGTTCTGTGTGTGAGTTTTCAGTTTTCTCTGAACGATTTCAGGTATGCAGGTATGTTAATAGAACACACATCTATAAAACCTCCTGTGCGCTGCATCCCACTGTAACAACCTCAACAGCTCCTGGCACTACCAGCTCATCCCTTTACTCACACAAATTTGCACATGAATCCAAAGACCTATTTCAGAAGAGTCTGAACTGCTGTGACAATGTGCTCTGTGACATTTGACCAAATATTTACAGAAAGGCACCAGCCTGGCAACTGATCCCCACATACAGTTGCCAAACAACTGGGAGAGCTGGGGATATGTTCCCAGGCTCTCAGGGTGTCCCCTTTCCCACGGTGTCCCCTCTGCCATGGGACCCCCCCTTCCCTGGGACCCCTCTCCTGAAGGACTTTCCTCTCATCCAGACCAAGCCAGCTGTGACAGGAACAGGACAAACCCCAGAGCCCCAGAAATGCCCTGTTCATTCTGCACAGAAAATGCAGTTTAACACAACAATTTTATAAAGTGTGAAATTTCCATGAAGAGACAGATGAAATGATTTTTTTTTACAAGAAGTAAATACCTTGCATAGCACTTGTATTCTTATACCATTTCATTTATGAAAATATACCAAAAAACAATCATCAGTTTCCATATCATATTTTTACTCACTCTTTGCAGACCTTTGTGTGGGTGAAGATTCATTCGTGGGGACGCTTGGGGAAGGACCCTGGGAAGGGCTGATCCCGTAAGTTGGCCCTGCCAACACAGCAGCTTTGCTCACACTGGCAGCAGGTGAATTCCTGGAGCATTCAGATCCTCGGCTGTGTGAAGCAGCTGCAGAATAATTGAAACTGGGGGTGTGGGGGGAATAAAAAAGAATAGTAATTGCAGAGCCTGTTTGCAAACAGAGAAGATTGAGAAACTGTGCTGTTTGCGAGGGCAGTTTGAATAAACATCTCCACAAGAAGCACTAAAACATCATGAGCAATGTTTGTAAGCAAGTAAATTCTTCAGATGTGATGTTTACAGAATACTGAGCTGTACAAATTTCTTTGATTAATTTTTATAAGTTTTATTGCAGTTTCATGTTTGGAATGTGTAGCTGTCATGGCCAATCTTACAGCAGAAATGTGTACATAATTCTTTTCCTGTTTCTGGTTTTAAATGTCCTTCCCAGGGAGGCTTTACAGAACAAGTCTTTTGAAATGATCTTTATTTCAAATCAGTTAGAACATATCCACAATTAGAACATTTCCATACCTATCCTTTACTTGGAGAGGCTCTACATTGCTCCCATAAATTTCAATGCCATACTGGTGACATTCAGATACATCACAGGAAATGAAAAGGGCACTAAAAGAAAATACATATTTATAATTCATATTTCCATTATGAAGGAACACTGTAGCCCTTGTAAGGGAGCAGGTGTTTGCAGTGGCTCCTCCATGGCAGCAGATGAACAGAGTGTACAGCATAACAGCTCTGCTATTTTTGCTCTCACAACACCACAGAGGCCTTTGCACGGGGACTCATGTTCCACATGTGCAGAGAGCAGAAAATGAAGCTCTTGCATTCGAGACATAGGAACGAGAAGAGGCTGGAAGCACTGAACTCCAGCACAAACACCCTGACAAGGCATGAACATTGTCTGCAGATCCAGCTGATCCTCGGAGCTTACTTCCTTTCGTCAGCTCCCCAAATCCTTCTGGCACAGATTCCTTTCAGCTGTTCATTTTTATTTCAGCTGCCTTCCCTTATGCTCTTTTTTAAGTGCCCAGTTTCTCAGATTTCAGTTTCCTGCCCCAAAGGTCACTGAAATAACCCTTCAGATTTCAGACAGCAGGGCCAAACCTTTGCTCACCACGGCGCGTGCTCAAAGCATTCAGGGAAATTACTGCAACATTGTTCATTATGAGCCTATTATTGCGCTACACAGAAAATCTAATTAAATAAAGCAAGCTGACATGAATAAAATCATTAACAACTCATCTTGCTTTGTTTGAGACTGTAGAAGGCTGAGTTGAATTTTGGGATAGATGGAGCCAGGCAATGATCTAGGGGATATAACAACACTGCATCCATCTGGGAAACTCAATGAGGCTTAATCAAAATCAAGCTCCAGGTTTCAGTAGATGAATCCTGTCCTCAGAAGGTCCTGCCTACCTAGCACTGTCAGCGCTGCATCCTTCATTACTCAGACTGGAGGAAAATCATGGGCCAGGATGCCGTGATGGTCTTGTTTCCAAAACCCAGTAGTGGAAAACAGCAACCAAAAATTACTGTGATCTTGCTGTCAAGGTTTACTGGGTGGCCTTGCACAAGTCTCTCAATTTCCTTGGGACATGTTTATCCCAGTTGGTCGCATGAGAAAATTGTTGTCATCTACATTAACAGCAGACTGTGGAATACAAACATTACCTGGAGTTGTAAATACAATATGGATAAAATACATATATGGATTTAGTACGTCAGACACAGATTATTATTGTCAGGAAGGGTCTGGTCTGCAAGCTTTTTGATTTTAATAAGAGTTCGATCACACTATAGCACAGTCCTTGCTGTAAGTACTGCAATTTGTTACATGTAAAAACGTACGCACTTCATAGAGAGCTACAAAGAATCGCAGGATCACAGAATCATTTGGGCTGGAAAAGCCCTCTGAGACCATCGAGTCCAACCATTCCCCCAGCACTACCAAGGTCATCACTAACCCATGTCCCCAAGTGTCACATCCAAATGGCTTTTAAATCCCTCCAGGAATGGGGACATACAGGAAAGAGTTCCATTAAGCAGGGGATTCATTCAGGCTCTTGGATTTTGGTATGAGGCTGATACAGGAAACTCAACAGAACCAGCTGCTCTCTGTAGCATTTCCTCCAAATAGTTCCATAAATTTTCTAATCTCCAACTCCACAATGATCATTTTATTGGGAATAAGAAAGACCACCAAGGATGACAGATGCATTAGAAATGTAATGGGCAAATATACGCTACCTGTGGCTCAGTAGAAATTACTGGAAGCTGATATATGTAAAAGTGTTTTACTGTCAAGTGTGGAGTCCAAGAATGTGTGTGAACATGCACAGACAGAGCCCTGTGTGAGACAAAAACACATGGAAAAATAATTAATATAGCTCTGTATAAATAAAATATAATTTGTAATGATTTTCATATTTTACATTACACTTAATTGCAGTTTAAAAATGAAAAATGGTACAAATCCAGATATTTCAATACCTGTGGAGTAAATCCATTAAGCCTGCTGACATTATCCAGGTCTAATATTGATCAAAATGCACCTTCTAAATTTCAGGCAAAAATATTCAGTGTAAGAGGAAAGCATGAGGTGGCATAAAGACTTAAAGCAGTGCAACATTTCTTACCTGGTAAATTTTTAAAACCTTTGCCTTGAGATCTGAATGTTTCATTTCCCAGCAGGTGATTCCCGATACCCTGCTCTGAGCTGTTCTTGGGGCTGGACATCACTTGCTTCACAGCTTTGCACAAAAAGCTCAGCTCACCAGGAGAGGAGACCTGAAACAATCCGAGTGGTGCCTCTCCCCTGTGCCCTCAGTGGGCTGGCAGAGCCTGGGACACCCACTGGCCCCAGGGCCAGCTGTGCTAGTCCACAGCTACCACCAGGATAAGATTCCTGTGCTTTTTTTTATCTTGGAATGCACACTGCTCCCTAAACCACAGCAGCTGCTGCTGGCCCAACCTAACTCAACCTTTTCCAAAAGCTGTTCAGTCACTGTGATTTTCCTCATTCGCTTTTCCCAATGCTTATGTGCCAGAAGCAAATCCATTTCCTATTTATATCCAGATTGCTTTCGCTAATGAAATCAATGCACGGTGCTTAGGGAATTCAGAACAAATGCAGCTGTAACAGTTAAAGTGGATAATAGCGTTAAAAGGATGCATTTTGCTGTTACTAAAAACCCAGAGAGCTCTCCTGGCAGCACAGCACAACCCTCAGGGAAGCCTGTGCAGAGCAAAGTTGTTCTCCAACTCAAGGTGCAATGTCTGTGTCAAACATTTGTTTCTCCTAAAATGTTTTGTGTAACAACAGATGAATAGATCATGCAAACAGATGACATGCAAACCACAATTCCATGCTCTATGACTATTTTTACTTTGTGACTTTATGCATTTATCTTAGATCCGAGTGTTCCCAAGCCTACTGCTGTTTCCATTGTTTCCATATTTCATAATGACTTTTAGAACCTCTGTTTGCTCAAAAGTTCTCCTTATTTCTTTGAAGTCAACCCCAGCAGTTCCCAACCTCTACATCTAGCTCCTTTGCCCATCTAGCTTCTTGCCCAGAAGAAATCCTCAGGAAAAATACTGTGTCTCTTGGGAGGTTTCTTTATCAACGTGGAAGAAACCTGGTGCAGGTTAAAGCAGGGTGGGTAATGCTCAGGAGATGTTGTCACTGCTGCCTTGTAGATGGCGTAAAAAAGGTGCCATTTGGGAATTCAGTCAGCAGGGACATAAACACTGACATCATGAAACATTAAATAAAATATGATAACCCACAGATAAATGCAAGAGAAAAAGATGCATCGTGTTTGCAGTCAAATCACACTTATACCGCACAGCATATTTTTAAAAATAGCAGATTTATCTGTTTGGAGCTGGATCTTGGGCACCTAAACTAGAAACAAAAGGACTTTATTACTATCTTTATTAGCAGAGAGTGGAGAAGGGGAAGAGGGAACAGACACTGTGTGTTTCTCTGAGTACACAATGCTCACAAATGTGAACCTGTCCCATGTCTGCTCCACTGCCCTGCAGGAGGGTCAACCCTCACTCCAAGGCCTCTCACAGTTCAGTCTGGAGAAATATAAAACCCAGGTTTTCATGTGGCACACATCAGTCAATCTGTGGTAACAAAAAGCTGGCAGCTGTCCAACCCCACTGCCAGCATCCAAACAACTACCAGTAAAAAAAATAAATCAGTATGTCTTGATGACAGGTGCTGACCCAGTAATATGAGTCAGTAGAGAGAGAATGGTCTCTCATGCCAATCTTTTTCCTCTGATGAAAAACAGGAAAAGATAAAAAAAATTTCAAAATAAAAGAGAAAAAAATATTAATACTTAAGACGAGATGTCTTGAACTAAAAGCATTTTTAATAATTTTTACCTCTTCCTAATTGAAATTGTATTGCAAAAAGGCAGCACGAAAAGAGAGAAACATAAGTTATTGTATTATTCCATTTTGCTGGAGCTAATATTCTACCCTTTAAAAGCTTTTAAAGCAGCTTTCAGTCAAATTTCTAATTAATTTGTTCTGTATCATATTCCTACTGACAAAAACTACAAGACATAGTAACATGTACTCCACAAAAGTCACCAATTAGTGCTTTCAGATCTGAAATATTTCACTACTTTCATCAAAAGAACACTTTATCTGCGTTTGCTGCATTATTAATGTTATGCTACAACACCACTGTTAATGTAATTTCTTTATTATTACTTCAATGAGATCAGAGAAAAGATCTGTGTACTTTTTCCTCAGGATTCTTATAAGCTGTGAAGTAATCAATCACCCACAAATGAAAACAGATTTGTTCAAGTACAGTTCATTCTACAATCAGACTTCTCTTTTTGCCTTTGTAGACAGACTTCATCATAAATTTGCTTCCTAAACTTCAGCATGCCTTCTACATCTTTGTAGGCGAGCATTTCTTCAATAGACAAGAGCTGAAAGCCACTCAGTTTGAAAGGTGACATGTGCTGCACAGAATTCAACATCTTCAGTGACATCCTAACAGATTCACTTAGAGTAGAACAAACAGGAAAAATCCTCACAGTCCACAGCCCCAAACGCGTGTTCCCACTGGAGAAGAGCTGGTCCGAAGCCTCTACGCTCCAGAGGTCCAGGCATTTTGCTAAGCTGGCTCCAAAAAACTGGAGCGAGCGTATATCCGACAGCAATTTCACAGTCTTCTTCAAGTCGTCTCCTACACCAAACACCATGGTGACATACTCAACTTGATCATTAATTTTCACAGTTACTGAACTCAGGAAGCAGCGTGAGGGTATGTCTACACTGAAACTTATGTAGGACCCACTAACAATGCTGCTCTTCCCTACCGAGACCTCAGGCCCAATCCTGGAGTATTCAATGACAGACCCAGGCCCTATCACACATCTGGGCTCAAGGATGCTCTGGATGACGCTTGACTGATCTGAGGTCTTGGCTGTGTCAGGAAAGATGCTAAAAGCCACAGGCAGCAAGTCAAGCTCAAATCTCAGTTTGCTCTCAGCAGTAAAATGAAATAAATACTCCTGAGTAGTTCCAATGTGGTAGAACTGGGAGTTGTTGAGGACTATGACATTGAGGGCAGTTCCTTGCAGGAGGGAGTATAACTGCTGCCGCACTTCCACCAACCCCAAGTCCTCCTTGGTGACATTACTCATGTTTTTGGTATAATCTGGAGTGGCTCCGGGTCCCAGGGCCTGGAGAAAGTCACCATATGCATCTATTTCATAGCAAAGTGTGCTTTGCTTATAGAACATCAGTAGCTGCTTTGCAGTGAGGTGATCCATGTAGAATATGCTGTCTGTGTACACACACTCCGAGGCCATTCCTGAGTCACCGTGGTTCCCAGAGGAGCAATGCCCCCTCACGCACACTGCACCGCTCTGACGCATCATCTCCATGTCAGGCTTGTGCAGGAAACGATGGCAAGATGCATATTCCACTCCTCCTTTTCCTGAAAAACTGGACGGATCTAAGACAAACACCCCGTGAGTGGTCCCGACTGCCAAATCTGAGGGGTGAGCCAACGCGGTAAACCCAGGTTTATCCAACGCGATGGTTTCTGTCACTTCAGTGCTGTACAGCTCTATGTCATCCGAACACGTGACGAGGATTCCTGGTTTCATGTGACGGGGGAAGTCGATGTACATGGCCAGCTTCAGCTCCAGCATCTGGTAAACGGGATTGCCGAACGGCAGGGCCGTGAAGATCTTCCCCAGGGCACTTGCACTTGGCAAACGCTGGCTGTAACCACCTGGAAGAGAAAGAGAATTTTAGCTACACAGAGACACTGTATGCAAGTAAGCAAAAAACTAAACCTATACAGCTATTTCACAGGTACACATAGGCATTAAAAAACCCTCTGCTTGGTCACATACCAAGTATTCCTTAAAGAATGACAGATGTGAAGAAATCAATCATTCTTCTTCAAACATTTCCCAAAGCAGATTTGACCTTATGTCCAAAACCCAGCCTGCCTTAAATAGCTCATATTAAAATTGTTGTTGATTTTGTTATCTTTAGTTTGTTTCAGAGCTGCCTGTTGCTGAAGTGTTGAAAGCAAATGACACTCATTTTTTGGTTGGAAAAGAGGAGGACCCCAACACTTCTGATGGGAATTTTAGTCCAGATGAGTCAAACAAGCAGAGTTTTGGTCAGGAAACTTATCACCTGGTTTCTTTCTCCTCTAAGAACTGATGTTCTCCCACTTCTGGAAGTGTCCTGACTAACTGGATAAGAAGGCAAGTACTCAGCCTGCCCAAAGGTACAAGGAGCCTGAGGTCCCCCCCACCCTGAGAGGGCCACATTCCTTAAACGGGTATTTCAAGGCAGGAACTTAAATCACACTCTGAAATACACCTCCTTCTCACTGTTTGATTGAACAACTTGAGTGCTGAGAAAAAATGCTGAAGTGACAGTAACATCTCCTAAGCACCAACCTAACTTCAAATGATCACACGCATTGGGGTGACTTTTCTGAGGGAACTATATTTCGGAACTCTGACTCCTCTGTCATCATATCGTTTTAAGGAAGGGGAAAAAAAGGGTACAGTTTTAGAGTGAGAAATGTAAAACTGAATTTACCAGAATGGATTAGCAGCACAGTGAAGGAAGCCCACTGATCACCATACAGATCTTCCAAGTACTGAAGAACATGAAGAGTTGATCCACCATTTCCTAAAGAAAAAGTATTTTAGTATCTGTAAGAAGAGCTTCAATAACACCTGCTCTGACAGGTGAGGTGTACTGGTGTCCAGCTGAAAAAACCTTCCACACCAGCACCGATGGGACAGTCTTTCTACCCTATTGTGGTTGTTAAGATCACACACAGAAGCTGATGGACAGTTCCTCCAGAAGCCTGTGCTCTCCCAGGGCAGAGCATCCTGAGCAGACAGCTCTTGGGAAAACTGTTTTTCCTCTCCCAGTCACCTCTGCACAGGCCAAACATTTGAAACATTTAATCAATTGAACAGGACATAACCCGGCCATAAAAACCAGCTCCTGTAGGAAACAGGTCACACAAAAGCTCATTAGTGGCTTCAAGGCAGTGTTCAGAAGTACTTCTGACATTTACAGTAAGGAAGTAAGGAAGGTGTGCGATACGAGGAAATGTTTTGGGATATTTTTTATGCTCTTACAAGTTAAAGCTGCCAGATTTCTGAGAATTAATCTCTGCCTATTACTCTACACTGCAAATAATATTGATATTAGTTACTTTGTACATCAAAGGGAACAGGAACGAAGAATTACAGGATGGCATTACGGGCAGTCAGGCTAGTTTCTTCTAGAGTTTTGCTGCCCACTGGGTAATATATTAAAATATAATCAAACCGTTTAAGCAATCAGATTAAGTATGAATTTCTAAAACACCCGAGCCAGTGCTATTCTGTATTCATCGGACACATTTTGAGGAGCTGTACAGTATCACCAACACGCCCATTCACAAGCACCACGATGGAGCCCCAGGTTGGCTCCTGCCACGGCCCCTCCTGCCCGTTACGGCCGCACCGAACCCTGCCCGAGCCCCGAGCCCTGCCCGGACCCCCGAGCCCTGCCCGAGCCCCCTGAGCCTCTTCCCGACCCGATTTCCCTTCCCCTGCCCGGCCCCCCCCGCGAGGCGGAAGCGCGGGAGATGAGGAGCGGCGCGGCCGGCGCTCGGAGCCCTCTTCCGCCCGCGGCCCCGGCCCCGGCACCGCACGCCACCGATCCTGGGCCCGGCGGGTCGGGGCACCACGTGGTATCGACGCCCCTGGGCAAGCTCCCCCGCGCAGCTTCTCCGCCAGCTGTTCCGGGAACGCGCCCGGCCTGCGCCGCGTCCGCCGCCGTCAGCACACCACCACGTCCCAGAGACTCGCCGGGCCGGGCGGGCCGCGCCTGCGGTGAGCGGCCCCGCTCAGACAGCGCCTGGGCACGGCCTGCGCCCCGGCCCCGAGCGCTCGGGCAGCCCCGCGGCCTGGACCCGCCGCCCCCCGCCCGCCATCCCACCTCGCATGCGCCGCGAACCGCGCCAGCCCCGGCCGTGTCACTCCCGCCGCGCCGCGCCTGCTGCCCGCCCACGCCGGCACTGCCGGGGCCGGGGAACCAGCGCTGCCGCCCGCCGCAACTCGACCCGGCATTGCGCCGGGCGGGGCGGGTGGGCGGTGCGGAAGCCTCCGGCCCGGCCCGCGCCGGGCGGGGAAGAGGCGGCTCTGCCGCGCTCCGGGCGGGGGTTGCGGCGCTGCGGCCCCGGGGGCGCTCCGAGCGCTCTCGAGGAGCAGGAGGAGGTGGATGCCTGGGTTGTTAATCTAGGTAGGAGCAGAATCCTAATCGCGCACGAACCCGTCCGCTTAACTCTGCCCTGCCCGCTTAACTCTGCCCTGCCCGCAGCCGCTGGTTGGTGCCTCCTCGGCCCCACCTGGAGCACCCGGGGCGCGCTGGTGAGCGCGGAGCAGGGCTACGATTTGGTAAACGGACCTCACCCGCACTCATCGCAGGCATCACCGTGTGTTTTATCTGCTAGCAGCTTGTAGGAGTCACGCAGCTGAGGGTTTTTCCGGCTGCGGTTCCTTGCCCTGGATATTGTGGTTTTTTATCTGCGGATTCCATCTGAATTCAGAGTTTGCTGGGATTACAGATACCAAATACAAAGAGATGGGAATGAAAGGAGGGTTCGCCTTTATAAGATCTCATTATACACAAATCTTAAAATAAAAAGTAAAAGCACTATAGAAGCTAGTGGAGGAAAGAAAAAGAGTTTATGAAGTTAGAAAAAAAGTTACAACAAATCCGTAGTTTTTCATGTTTGTAAACTGCTGACAGAGAAGATTAAGAAAAAAAAAGTTGAAAGCTTCACTGTGCTTTCTCGGTGTGAGACTTTGCTGTGATGCAGGTGATAATAGCCCTAATCAGAGCAATGCACACCACAAAGATCTGTTTTATCCTTACTTGCACTCTTGACTCACTCCAATAAGGACCATGATCTGTTCTGTTGAAACTACACCTGTGCTCTTTTGCACTGAGTTTTCATTACTGACAGCATCTGAGATATGTTAAATAAGCTTTGAAGAGTTTAAGTAGGGATTTCTTAAATTTTCTAAAATTTCAGACTAGATGTTTCAGTAATGTTAAACGTTTGCACATGGCGGTTCACCTAGTTACAGCTGCAACAAAAGATTTAACTCCCTTCATTACTATTCTGCGCACTGCCTACTTCTGTTATCCTGTGCAATAGTCACAGAGGCAGTGGTTACAGCAGAATTCCTTTACCTGAACGTGAAGATGTTATGTCAGAGACGAGGATAAAGGAATTAACAGTCAAAGCACAGCTCTAATCTGTGATAGGAAAAACTCCCTGTGCCATACTGTTAAACTGGAACATGACACCAAGGGGGAGCACCACTCGGCTGAAACCAGGGAATGCACCAGGCAGAACAATCCTTTCTAAGAAAAAAGAACTCTGTAAACAGAGGAACGAACCCTTCTGAGAATTCTGGGAAAGTCTGATAAAAACAGAGACTACATGTAGGAGATTGTCACAGAGGTACAGACTGATTGAGGTTGGAGGGGACTGCTGGAGGTCACCTGGACCAGTCCCCTGCTCAGGTAGGGCCACCCAGAGCCATGTCCAGGTGGGTTTTGAGTATCTCTGAGGGCAGAGACTCCACCACCTCCCTGTGGTACTCGGTCACCTCACAGTGAAAAAGTGTCTCCTGGTGTTGAAGGGAACCCTCCTGTGTGCCCGTGTGTACTTGTGGCCTCTGGTCCTGGCCCTGGGCACCACTGGAAGAGCTTGGCTCCGTCTCCTTGGCTCTCTCCTGCTGGTACCTGTACACGTCGGTGAGATCCCCTGAGCCTGCTCTGCTCCAGCACAGCAGTCCTGGCTCTCCCAGCCTCTCTTCAGAGCAGAGGTGCTCCAGTCCCTTCATCTTCGGGGCCCCTTGCTGGGTTGTGCAGTATGTCCCTCTCTCTCTTTACTGGGGAGCTGGACCCAGCACCCCCAGGGGCCCCCCCTCCACCCACTGTCAGTGCTGCTCCCAACACAGCCCTCACAGCACTGGCACCTCATTATTGTGATCACACAGGACACAATCCAAGCTAGATTTATCCCTAAGCAGGTATCCCTTCACTCCCTGCTTTACTAGAGTAATGCAGTAATAAAACAAGCACAGGTATTTGTTTCTGAGCACAGTTATTCCATCAAATCCCATCAAATTGTGTGTCTCTCCCAGGAAGAGGTTTCCCACACCTGGGGTATGAGCAGCAGTGACCTGTGCTGCCAGTGGAGAACCTGAGTTCTGGCACCTCAGATGGAGCATGCTCAGGCTCTGAATATTTATGGAAGTGCTGAGATTTGATGTCACTTTTGTAATCTGAACTGAGTTCTCACAGAGGAGCAATGAGAAACCACTTGTTCTCAGCAGTGATGGATCTGTAACACCAGACGTGCTGCTCAGCTTAGCCTGGCTAAAACAGCAACAAAAAACAATTACTGTAGCGTAGTCTCTGGTTTAGCTCAGATTTTCCATAATCCCACACAGAACAGTAAATATCTGGTATTTCAGGATGAATCAAATGCGCTGATGAGTACTGCAAATCTGTACCCTTACTGGGCCTTTTTCTTAGAACTGGATTTTAAATGCTTAATAAAAGTGGGAGGACATGCCTACATGGTTTAGTTTGCAAAATATGAATAGGTGTTGTTCTGGGCTGCACCGTGCAGGAAGAATTTCTTCATGGAAGGAGTTGTCAATCATTGGACAGGGCTGCCCAGGGAGGTGGGTGGACTCCCCATTCCTAGAGGTGTTCAAAGAATAACTGGATGTACTTTGGTCTAGTTGACAAGTGGTGATGGGTCAAAGGCAGGACTCAACGGTCCTGGGGAACTTTTTCAACCTAAATGATTCTGGGATTCTGTGCCCAGGATTGGCAGTGCCTGGCCCTGCCCCATTCCCACGGATGTGTTCTCCCCTCCCCTCTGTCCCCACGCCTGGCACAGCCGTTGTTCCTGGCTGCCAACCCTCATTAGCACCGTCTCTACTTAATTAGTTTTCTGGTTCTCACACATGCTTTGGGTGTATTTTGCATAAATTATCTGTGTATCTGTGTCACTGCATGCTGGTGGCAAGGACACAGGAACCCTCCTCCAGGCCCCAGGTCAGCTCAGGGAAAGATAACTTATATGTGTTGTTATTAGTATAGTACCAGATATTGGTATATATATTGTTATACAGGTGGTATTATAAAAAAAGGGAATACAGCTCAGAATATTTGCCTGTAAACAGCCTCCCCCCCTCCCCTAAAATTAGTCTTTCTGAATGGAATAAATTAATTTTTTTAGCAATACACAATTTGGTAAAAAAGCTTTCACAAAAATAGAGATAAAACATTTTCTAAAAAAATAAGACAAATGTTAAGTATTTTCCAGGCACATCAGCTGTGCCTGGAGCTCCTGCGCTGGTCTTAGTTATCCATCGAAGGTAATATCTGCAATTTATTGGAGATAAAGCAATTGAAATGCTCAGCACAAGATAAATGGTCTTTTTAGCTAGAGTATAGAGTCCATAATTACAGTGGGAACAGATTAGGAAAAATAGCATTCCATCATTTCTCCTGTTCGACATTTACAGAAGTTCTGAGTATTTATTTAATATTTAAACAGCCCATCTCAGGAATGTTTTCATTGTTTGATGTGGTCGAGCACTTCCCTGACACCCTTCATCATTCACCCAGACTATTTTTGTAGGCATACATACAATATTTAAAAATTCTGTCTTTTTATCTGCCATGTGTTTATACCCATGCAGTTTGTTAAACTGCTAATGAGTCCCATGGGACAGTATGTTTGAATTAAACAGACATTGATACCTGCTAGAAATATATAAAATAAGCCCAGGAAAAAAAGTGTACATATATATATTTATTTATTTATATAAAACAGCCTGAAGATAAGCTGAGCTGTTTTATCATAGGTTGGGTGTCAGGCTCCCTTCCCCCTTCTTTGGGGTGGGTGAGCTGGCCAGGGGGTCAGCCTGGTGGGGTTTAGGGAGTGAAACTGGCTGAGGGGTCAGTTCTAGGGGGCTCGGAGAGTGGAGCTGGGTGGGGGCTATGGTGGGTTGGTCTGATGGGCTTCGGGAAGTGGAACACCAGCTCTTAGGGGATTTTGTGGCTTTTGGAGGGGCAGGGTGCAGCTGGGTGGGCACATCTACTACCTCTGTACCCCTAAGTCCACAGCCTGACCTGCTGCCTGTGGGAACTGGACTGAGCTAGAATCCCCCTGAGCAGCTATATCTGTGAGTATGAATTCACTTACAGCTTCCCGAAGGACAGGCTCAGCTAATTTTCAGTGAAAAACAGTCATAACCATAAGTTGGCTTTTTCACTCCTACAGTTTGATCGTGTCAGCCACTAAAGCCTTTCCCTGTGCATACTGCATCTGGCCCCTTGGCATGTTGGGGCTGGTCCTTAGCTTGGACTTCTCACTGATGACAGACACAGGGTGGTGACAAACATGGGGTCCTGCCAGCACAGCAGGCAAGAGATGGCGATTCTGGTGAGTGCCATGGTTCCGTCGGAACAGCTGGAGACTGTGCTCCCCTCAGAGGGGAGGTTTGGGCAGTGAGGGATGGTCCTCCAGGGCAGCACTCTCATGGATATATGGAAGGATTTGGGTTGTCCTTCCCATTGCCAGTGAAGGGCCAGGACAGCACAGCGTGCTGAGGGCTGAGCTATCCAGAACCCTTCGTGCTCAGAGGTAATCAATCTCTGTACTTTGCCTTTTAATAGCTACTTGCTCATGATGGTTTTCTTCGTCATATTTTTCCTTGAATTGTCCAGACCAGAGTTTGTCTTCATCTTCCCAGTAAATCAAGTTACCTGGTAATGATATTTTAAAGCTAAATCCTGTCTAGTGTGTCCCAGCTGTCCAATGCTGCAGAGATAATTCCCTTTTTAAAGAGCGTTCGGCCAAATATTTGTCCAGACCTTTCTCTCATCAGTCCATATTCTCTCTCTGCATGTTGCTCTTCTGCAGCATAAGAGGATTTGTTCCTAAAACTTGCTTTGGAATTCCCTTGCTTCTAGTCCCAGTCTCCATGTGGAATTGAACGGGGTGGTGCTTTCCCACTGTGCACCTCATGGT